ACTCTGATGGGCAGTAGTTCCTAAGCTTTTCCTCTTGTTTTCTGCTCTGACCATCTGAAAATTCTTCTTTTCTTATAGAATATATTTTTTAACGTGAGGTTTAATGGTTTACATGAAAACAAGGTTGTTGTGTTTTTATCTCTTTGTTATTTGATCAAATCATGAAATATGAGATGGAAGCGACAGATGTCTCTTATGATAGAAATAGATGTAATTCAGTCGGAAAACCTACACTAAAATTTATATTAATTTAGCTTTTGATAAGTTGAGTTTCGGTTTGTGAGCTGCAGTAGTAATCTGGTTCAGGATTGGTTAAAGAGATAAGTTTTTATAATAACGGCAATGAATTTTCTGTCTCTAATTTAAGTAATTTTCTGATGAACTAAGCAGCTCCAAGTTTCTCAACAAGGTTTCTGCTCCATGCTATTAGTTAATTAGTCAATAGCTCTAATTTAAAACTAAGTTGTAAGATTTGAGGCTTTCACGGCGGTGACTATGAAGAAAGCAGTCTTCTGGGATTTGGCACCGTGTATATGTGGTGTTAACCGACGTTTCGGAGGAACGTATCGCCCCCATCTTCAGGGTTGAAGAAGTATAAGTAAATCTGCAAGCGACAACACCGTGAGACACGGTCAAGACACCACATATACACGGTGCCAAATCCCAGAAGACTGCTTTCTTCTAAAACTAAGTTATTCGTGAAGATACATCAATAATAAATCCGTACGCTCAGTGTACTAAAAGATCTGATTCACATGACCGAAACTTGCTGTGCTGGTGAAACTGAATGAGAGGCAATTCACATGAAATCCATACTACAGTACACTTTCATATCTTTTTGTATGGGATCGAAGTCAACATAATTCGACTACATCTTATTTGTAAGATTTGAGGTTTACACGGCGGTGGCTATGAAGAAAGAAGTCTTCTGGGATATGGAGCCGTGTAGATGTTGTGTTAACCGACGTTTCGGATGAACGTATCGCCTCCATCTTAAGGGTAAAAGAAAAAAGAAAATCCATGAGCGAGGAACCATGAAGATGGAGTCTATTTGTTCCTCCGAAACGTCGGTTAACACAACATCTACACGGCACCACATCCCATAAGACTGCTTTCTTTACGTTTTAATTGTTTGTGAAGACGTTGTTAAGCCCTTCTTCCATATTTTATTTTCCGTGAAGTTTGGATAGGCACAATCCGTACTGCAGTGCAGACAGTTTCCATATGCAGCTCTTCACAATGGTGTGCTGAATTCTCACTCGACTGTATGTACGCCTACATCTCCCAGAGTTTTAGAAGTCGTTTCTGCTGTTGTCCTCGTTTACCATAATTCCTACAAGTACCCTTGAAAATAGAATCCGGTACCCTCCTATCCAATTGGCACCGGAGCTTCATTCCCCGTAGGTAAAGCGGCCAGGACGTGAAGCTGACCAATCAGCTCCAACTAGTGCCGAGGTCAAGAATACGTGGATTTATACAGACACTCGTGGCATAGTACTTAATTAGTTAAGTGCAACTTCAACTTTACCTATATATCTATAACATGGTTACTGTATTTCGCCTGTTGCGCTACTGTCGTTCCCACTTCAGAAATTTGTGCACCCACCAGTCTGGATATATCCAAATGAAACTGCATATATCGAGACTGCAGAGCTAATTTAGGATGGCTTCTAATGGAATAATGTTCATAACGAATTCGTAAAAATCTGCTCAGTAATATTTCTCGAGTTGAAAAATCGGACGGACAGACGAACACATATGGCTATCCCCACTTACTTACTTGAAGATGGAGTCTATTTGTTCCTTCTGGAGGAGCCACCAATTCTGCAGCTACTCAAGAATTTCCCAGCATTTTATGGAACCCGAAGGTTCATTACCGTGTTCACAAGAGCCTTCCACTGGTCCCTATCCTTAGCTAGATCAGTCCAATCCATAACATCCCATTCTATCTCTCTAAGATCCATTTTTATATTGTCCACCCACCTACGCCTTGGTCTTCCCAGTGGTCTGTTCCCTTCTGTCTTTCCCACCAATATCCTATATGCATTCGTCTCCCCCATTCGTGCTACATGGCCTGCCAACCTCATCCTCCCTGACTTGATCATTCTAATTATACTTGGAGAAGAGTACAAGTTATGAAGCTCCTCATTATGCAGCTTTCTCCAACCTCCTCTCACTTCATCCCTCTTCAGTCCAAATATTCTCCACAACACCCTGTTCTCAAACACCCTCAGTCTATGTTCCTCCCTTAATGTCAGAGACAAAGTTTCACACCCATACAGAACCACAGGTAAAAGTATGACTATTCCAACGTGTTTTTAAAATAATCCTTTTCATGTAAATGAACTTCCTCTAACATGGCATCATTTCATAAGGAAAAATATGTTCCACAGTTTCTTGCAATTTAAATGTAACTGACTCACTAATTCCATGAATCAGACTTCTTTCGTAGGTGATCAAACACTTTCTCACTTATTATATAACCCAAAGGTTCATTACCATGTTCATTTGATCCTATTCTCCAGTAATATTTTAGTAGTTGCAGTTCTTACGCAGTGTCTATAAATTTTATGGGAAAATTTCTCTATAAGGAACAAGATGAAACTGCACCAGTCATAGTTAATTCTGTCCGTAACTTAATGAATTGTGCCAAACACGTCAATATGATAAAATATTTCTCTTCTTTTTGGAAATATTTATTTAATCATAAATGCTTTTCTTCATTTCACCCTACGTACGCAATTTATCAATATATTATAACATTTCCGTACTTCATACGTCCTTTCAGGGTGATCACTTGTTAGGTCAGCAGAATGCTAATCACTGTCTTCCTTTCGGAACTGCGCGTTCGGCTACTCTGATAATCCTTCCATCCATTCCTGCCTTCGTTGGAGCATAGATTGTCGCGTGTCCAGGGTTCGGTGACTAATAATTAATGAGTTGCGGCTTTAGACGACGCTGTTTATTGAAGAATCATTCGTTTACACACAATTACAATTACTCTGAAATAGCGCCTTCCAGACGATGCGACCTGACTAGTCCGTCATCTCTCACGTTTCGTCTTCAACGGCTGTTCACTCTTCCTCCGCTCTTCTCGATGGAGTGTCTTTGCTCTTGGCTCTTCTCTGATCTCTCTTTTCATCTTCTCTGATCTCCCTTTTCATCTTCTCGGTTCTCTCTTCTTATCTCCTCGAATCTCATCTGTTCTGGCTCTTTTCTTCTACCCTCTTAAATTGCTCTTCGCGTACCGCTGAGATAACACCTTGTCGAAGGGTTCTGTTTTGCATGTTAGCTAGAATATTCGTTAGCGGATCTATTCGTTGCCTAGGAATTGCTAGCTGTTGATTAGCAATGGATGCTGGTTGTCACGAAATATGTTGACAATGCGTTACCTAGTAAGTGACACTTCTCTATGTATTTGGTTCACCTGTCACAGTATTATTTACTACGCTGTTGCCAGATATTTGGACTTCCTTTCCCTTACTGAAGATTACAATTTTCTGTGACGTGCAGCCATGTAATTTAGTACGTACATGTTCGTGCTTTTTACTTGTACAATAGCCTTCAAAGCAATCACGTCATATATCGAGTTTCAATAAAATGGGAGTTCACAGAAGAGGTTATATCTTTTCTCGAATGTTTCGCTTTAACTGGAATGACCACTCGATATGCTACGGGCATTCATTATAGCAGCAGAACGAGAGTTATTTGATGTTTCGCAAACCGAGAATGCTTGTTGCCTAGCAACTGCCAATAATTCTAACAGCAGGGCTTGTATGTAGTGTTTTCATGTTCTGACTTGATGTTCCTCTCTTTCTGTGTTCTTTCAGTCCTTCAGTTCTCCTTTAGTTTTGCCGTATTCATATCATACAAACGAATAAGGTAAAGCTGAAAGAGAACTGATGGACTGAATAAAAACACAGAAAGAAAAATAAATTAGAATCGGAAAGGAAGCCGTCACTTATTAGAAAATGATTACACAATACCGTGTAATGTGGCCCAAATGTACGTATATCTATATGAATGTCTTTACGTATTTCCGTCAGTTATTACCATCTTCAGAAGGCATAACAACACGTTGAGGAAACTACTATTACATTGATCATAGTACGTAAAGTTGAATCATGATTTTATATAAAGATTTTAATTAAGATAAAACGTGGTTGAGTTAAAAATTATTACAATTTTTAAACCTTAGCGGTTTAAGATTTTAAATATTTAGACTTTCAATATTACATTACAAAAACTGTTTCTGACACTTGCTATGGGTTTTAATGCTTGACATTTAACCATATTACTCTTTGCCCTTTGATTTATTCTATTATATTTGTTACACTGGATTGCTTGTTATTCCAGTAATTACTAGAATTTAACGTTGAAGATGTCTCATAATGAAACAAAGTGATATACGATTTCTAATTCCAGCAGGGAACTTGATATATCTCGAGAAGTAATGCCTGTAATCATATACAATATTTCACGTTCTTACGTGAGAAGCAATACAATCGACAGTATTTCATAATCTCAGCCCAAGAAAATATGCGATGTTCCATAAAATCATTCATGTTCTTGGATCAAGAATTAGTAGTGGTCTTCACAATCTTCCGTGTTCCAAGATTAAATGGAATAGTGCAGTGTTCTCCATAATAATTTCCATTTTCTTTCTTAAGGCACGTCCACATTACTTGTGCTCGTGCTCGTGCTCGCCAGGCTTGTGCTCTTCGGGAGACTCGTCTAGTTTTTACTTGTGCCCGTAAATTTTCGTCCACACTACTTCAGTTGCTCGCCAGGCTTCGGCGCGTGAGGATCCGTATATTTACTCGTAGTGTGTATAGGCTGTAGTCGTATTTTAATTTAATGGCTATAGTTTTTAAATTAAAATTTGCTTGTCTCGTGACTTGTCATATCGTCCACATTAATCGCGAGCATGGCGAGTCACACGAGCACGAGAACGAGTACGAGAAATGTGGACGCGCCTTTATATAATAAAAACAAAGTGCTATGATCGTAAAATTCTTTGGTTTGTTACATCAAAAACAAAGTGCAATCTACTCTTATTTAGTCTTTCATACTATCACAACTGTAGGTGCTATGTGCATTACAGTGTTCATCTGCTTAGAATGCGATGGAAGTCTTTCACTTTCAAAGAAAACACACAATAATATTTATTTTGTACGATCAGAAAAAAGAACAATATTCTCTGCATGTTTCAGTATCTTAGAACAAGGGTGAAAACTGCTTTCCTGAATGAGGTAGCCGCTCCAATTTGGGACTAGGTCGTGGTTCAAAATATGTAAATGAAACGACCACAGCGCAGGAATTCGTTCCTACAATCATCACTGCCCGGAACTGTGGGTACGGCGTCTTAAGTTACTCCTTGTTAAGTAAGACCGCTCTGGAGCTAAGAGGTCGACGTCTACCCACGGCTCGCGCTATTTTCAGCCCTGTCTCAGATACCATATGCAATATTCTGCACTATATATGTTATCAGAAATTGTTGACATGGAAACGCTTACAGACTGTCCTGTTACCGATGTTAAAGTTAATCTCAAACAAAACTTTGTCTGTGTTTGGTATTTCCGGGATCGTAGTGTTACCACCATTCGTCAAAGTGAATGTTCCACGGTAATACGCCCACTGAAAATAGAAGTTAAAATTTAATAAGTGATTACCAAATGAGGCCTGTTGCATATACATCTTACTTAAAAGAAATCTTATGTTGTTGGTCAAGACTCCTTCACACACACAACATCTACATGTGAAATTAAGATATATACATGTTGACAGAAAACACGAAATTATACAGATAACAAATAAAGCTTATGATAAAAACGGACAGTATCAAAATATTGTTTACGAGATAGAAAATTTAAATAAACGGACTGAGGCAGGAGGATCTCAAATGAATACGCCCAAATAAGCAAACAAAAAGAGAATGCGCTTCCTCCCACATAGGCCTACAGGCAAGGAAGAACGCGAAAGAGAAATGTATGAAAAAAAAAAGGAACTGAAATTTAAGGCAGTAACAAAAATCGGGAACTTAATATGATTAAGGGGATTAAGTAAGTTGGTTCAACCGGTAACTTGCATTGGGGGATGTTTCTCTTCAGTCTCGGCCGGGACACCTATTATATTTTCTTAAGTTATCGTGGTTTTCTCAGTCACTCTCGGCAAGATCCGGGGCATTATCTCAAATTAGGTCACCACCGCTTCCTTCCGCGTCCTTTCTAAGTCATCCTACCATTTGACATTGCGTCTGAATATTGATAGCGTCTGTAAATAAGGTACAAATGAACAGGTAAATAAAGGAATTCGATAAATTTAGTCTACATTACACTCACGACGTAGTTCCTTTTAAGACACTGTCCTCTAACGAAATTTCTGGGTCCTACACTAAACTAAACTCCGTGGCCTGAGTCCACAAGCGAACTGTACCGACAGCGCTACTGCCGCGTTTCGGCGAAGTTAGTGCCAAATTTAGCGGATAGAGGGTGTCGCGTGGTCAGCGCAACGAATCGCCACGCCCGGTAATTTCGGTTTTCTAGACCGGAGCCGCTATTTCCTTCTAATAACTCCTCAATTTTCCTCACGAAGCTGAGTGGACCTCGTTCCAGACTTCTCAGAAAATTTGGTAGCGCCGGGAACCGAACCCGGGACCTCTGGATCTTTAGCCAGGAACCACTTGACCACAGAGGCGGTCTTCCTTCAGTATTTGTGCTTTCGATCATCATATCAACGTCAACTTCATACGTCATAAGTTTATGTGTTTCGCTAGATTAAAATTCCTCTGGCTGCGCGGACTCACCTAATGGTATATGCTAAATATCTTATTCTTCTTCACATCAAAGTTCGGATCACGGCCCATTCCTAGGCTAAATTATTTGGTTCCTCCACCTTATACATGGTCGAGCCAGGTCTCATTTTCCGTTAAGTCTATGAAATAAATCTTGACATCTATATCCAAGTTGTTGCATCTTGACTGCATAATTTTTCCCATATTTCTGATTATTTTCGATTTATTCTTTAATATTAACCACGCTTAATTTTTTCCTAATAGTCATAGCTACACTAATCAGTTACAGCCAGGGTAGCACAGTCGGTATAGCGACTGACTACAGGCTCGACGACCGAGGGTTCGGAGTTCGAGTCCAGGTAGGGTCAAGAGTTTCTCTTCTCCACGTCGTGGAGATCGCTTCTGGGGTTCGACCAACCTCCTATACAATGTGTACTGGGGGCCTTTTCTCCGGGGGTAAAGCGGTCGAGCCGTGAAGCTGACCACTCACCTCCAGGTAGTACCGAGGGCAAGAAAATGTGGATCTATACACCCACTCCCCCATACGATCTCATGGCGTGGTGCTTAATTAGTTGAGCACAGGGACTACTCTACCTAACTTTACACTCCTAAACTTATGTCTTCTCGTCACTCTGCATATGGATCTCATGAGACTAATTTATGCAGCTTCCAAGCTCATTCTGTTCATCCATACCTAAGACATGGCCTTGACACTATATTATATAAACTTTGATTTGTTTCTATCCTCAGACTCCTCCCAAAATTCTGCTTCGTAGATCCGTTTACGTTGCAAAGAAAGAACGAAGAATAATGCTGTTTGACGTCGTTTTGTTAGCGACAATTCTGAACATAAAATACATTGGAGAAATCTGTATCTCTACTGGTTAACTTATATTAAGTTCACTTTATTTAGTCTACTTTAATGGGCTCTCTGAATTCAGTGAGAGTACTGAACAATATTTCCCTCCTAACCGAATCATAGACTTTCTTAAAGTCTAAAGTAGCTGAAGTACTCTCATTGTACTCGCGTTTCTTCTCCGGCTTGTGACTAATTCAGAATGTAATATCTTATTGTACTTAATCTGATGCCGGTATGTCAAAGTCCACATTGCTGATCTTCAGTAACTAAGTTGGAGTTCATGCCGCGTCGTAGCTCAAGCGGTTAGTCGCTGGCTTCCCACCGCGGCGGCCCTGGTTGGATCCCAGGTCTGGTCAAGTGGGATTTGTGGTGGACAAAGTGGCGCTGGGGCAGGTTTTCTCCGAGTACTTCCCCTGCCAATCTTCATTCCACCAATTGCTCCACAATCACCCTCACCTATCATCTGGGGCTGGTACAATAGGCCAGAAATGGCCGCAGTACAAGGGACTTAGTCCCACCCCACTAGCAATAAAAAAAGGTTGGAGTTCATTTTGTATAAGATTTTGTATTTAGCTGATAATAGCAGCATTCCTCTATAATTACAGCTGTCAGTTTTAGTACGTTTTGTAAACAGTTACGCTGGGTTTAAATTTTGTGTGCTGTTGTGTGAATTCTCTTATAAAATTAGTATTAAGGTTGTATTTAGCGTCCTGTTGCACTGATTTTCATCCATGACATGTATACAATTACCGTCTTGTAGTGCACTCAATTTCATATATACAGAACAACAAAGAAAAACACACATATGAACAATATAAATAAGGAAATATATAACCCAGTATTTCAGGAATTACACACAATTTACACAGAACAACATAAGACAACCCCACCACCTACCCCCACCACATCACCTCATACCACGTCGTAACTCAATCAATACGAAGACACACACACATCCAACATTACAACACTCGTAGCTAAGAAGGGAACACACTTCACAAGACACAGTTTACACAGAATATAAGAAAAACGATCCCCACAGTGGAAGAACCACACGCAAGTTTTAGTTATGACACATAAGATGAATAATCTTAACAAGTTTTAGTGTGTTTAAATTTATTATAATTGACAAATACGCACTTTTTAAATACTTTTTAAATAATTTTATAAAGGCAAGCAATGAAATAGATTAGCGTAATTAGGGCACCCGATGATGACACTATATTGCCGAAACATGTCGTGAAGTAACAGGTGAAATTGAGTGCACTACAAGACGGCAACTGTATACATATCATGGATTAGTATTAAGGATTTATGAGTTTTAAAACATATTTTCTGCCACATTCATATATCGAGTTAGCCGGAACTTGATCTAAACAGAGTGATTTACACATCTTACACTTTTTCAGTATTAATCTCAGCCTCAAAAGAGCTGGAATCAGGAACTAAAACATCTGTGTGTGTATATATATATATATATATGTATGTGTGTGTGTGTGTGTGTTCAGTAACTGACAGAAGTAATTCTACCACTTATTCAAGATACTGTTGGAATATCCAATATCACCACTTTCATTTTTACATAATCATAATTTGGTAACCCTTCTAAAATTTATATATGCCTTTTACAAGTCCCCAACACTTCGGTGCTTTCTGTTTCTCAGAATCCCGAATTTTATTTATAAATATTTCCTTATGTTTTGCGTCGAATGACCACTACATTTACGCCTCACACATTTTAGTCTGTCTCCTATTTATAATGTACGAGTATAATAATTGCCCGATTAGAACAAGGCTCCCGCATAGTAACTTGAACATAAGTAAGAAATTAAACCCATACACTTCACTTCCCCGACAAGACTAAGTCTTTCTGGAAATATCGTAGAACAAATGGAAAAGCCAGTGTAAAATTTACAGATATAGCTAATGATTTCAACATGAGGATTTCCCCTGTCAAGACTAAAATAAAGGAAATACAACATTCGCAGGAAAATTTGAATTTATAATAACATTTCTAATAAGTTAACTCCTTTAAATTTCTCGTTTATAGATGTACGTTGAATTAATACGAGAAATATAATACCGAATGTGTAAAAGTAAACGAAGTTGTCCTATGTTTCGTCGAGGGTCACGTCACGTCACGAAGACATGAAAAGATTCTAAATTACAGCCGAATGTGTAGGGTAACAAGCTGAGGATTCCAACTCAGTTACTGAACATAAATATTAAAAATTATTGTTCATAGGATTTTAGCGCGTACATTGTAGACTCTACGGTAGACAAACCGAAAGGGGCGGAAGTATGTAATTCTTAAGAACTGCGCTCTACATTAGTTTGAATTATCAAAGGATGTTAGATATAATGGCGAAATGAAGTACACAGCCAGTCATGGAATTCAGAGAGAACTGCAAATATGAATGGGGAAAAGTCTTATTCGAATTCAAGCTCAAGTATCCAATTTCAGATTCTCTACTACAGGCAGAGGAATGTGTTTTGGGGGGACTCTAAAAGCAGTTGAATGAGACCTTAACAGGCCACTAGGCCTAAGCGGCCCATACAGGTACGAATCTGGCTCGCGAGTCCGGCTCGGCGAGGATCCGGGCTCGGATTAATTTCACCACACACGGACGATTTTGGCTCATTGGAACCCGAGCCGAGTCGAACTCCCAAGCCAGACCCTTACGTGTATGGGCTCCCTAAGACATGAAAGAATGATGAAGAGAGTGAATACAGTACCCAAAATGAGAAAGCCGAAAGTGACAGCCAGAAAAAGGACTATCTGAAGGTCCGCGTCTCGCCTTTTTGAAAATATTAAACGTAATTTATGGAAGACAGCAGTACTCTTGAATGTGCCACCATATGGTAGAGTATTTTCCTTCGAAAATTTGGTGCCTATCTACCAGTCTATTCGACATCACATCCCAGGTTCTTAGCAATAAGAGCGTCGAATTTCCAGAATTCAAGTTCCAAAAGATTTAAGCCAAGTTCGATTCTTATCAAAGAAAATAAAAGCTAGGAACAATTCTAACACTAACTAGTGGTCTGTTTGCGCTCAGCAGTGAGATTGGCTACCAGCTCGCTAAACAGAAACACCCCTCTACCTTACCGTGGGTCTTCCGTTCAACTCCTGATAAATGTCAAATGTTCCATTGTTCACTTGAAATGTGCCGACAGCCTGTCCATTGCTCGAGGCATACTGGAAGTCCGCCTGTGATGTCGTGGCGTTGCAATCCACTGCGTGGAAACTTGCTGCTGTCTGCACACATAGAAATACTCTGCCATATTCTTGACTTTGTTGTAGCATAATATAAATGCCAATGATTTTAATGCAGTACTACTATATTATATGCCCAGGCTGAGTGTGTGATGGTTGGAAAAGACGGTCTTCAAATATCCATAATGGAAATAATGCCATGTCTGTACATGAAAAACCTGCACATTAGTGCAACAGTACTCATGAACATTATAGTTCAGCATCCTGTTGCACTGAAGTATCGCTTGTAGTTTTCTTCCGTCTATAATGCAACAATATCAATATAGAATTAGGTGACACTAATCAACATTTAATTCACTGAAATGTTTGTTGAAATGTTCACGGACTACTCTGCGCTTACCTGGCTCATGAGTTTCAAGAACTTAGGACAAACTGCGCGCTGGACACAGCGCCTACAAGAGTACAACTTTAGTTCGGAGCATCGTCAAGGCCGGAAACATAACAACGCCGACGTCCTTTCTAGACGACCCTGCCAAGAGCAATATGTGCACTGCCATAAAATTGAGACATAGGCAGATGTAAAGCAAATACACGCTATTGGAACCCTACCGGCAGCCGGCTGGGACCCGATAACCATAAGAGAGGAACAGCTAAACGACCCAGACATAGGGCATATTCTACAAGAAATAGAAACCGGACAACGACCGGGATGGCAAGATATCGCGGATCGGAGTCCCACGTACAAAAGCTACTGGGCTCGATGGAAATCGCTCGCTTTGAGAAACGGCATTCTAGAGCGCACCTGGGAATCCGCCAACGGAAGATGTCAAGTAGCCCAGATAATTATTCCCCGGAGCAGAGTGAAGGACGTTCTGAGTGAACTACATGGTGGACCGTCAGGAGGTCACTTCGGTATCAACAAAACTCTGAATAAGGTTCGGCAGAGATTCTACTGGCTCCAAGCAAGAGCCAGTATTGAGAAATGGTGTCGACAATGCAACACATGTGCAGCCAGTCGGGGACCGCGGACCAAGAATCGTGGGCAAATGCACCAGTATAATGTCGGGGCTCCCAGTTGTAAGAATGATATCTCAAGTATAAAATGTTGAATGTGTGCTGCAGTTCCATGTACCTTGGTTTGAATTTCCTGTACAAAGAAGATTTCGTAGGATCTTTGGAGGGGAACCACCGGCAACAATGTCGATTTTGAAGAGGTGTTTAACTGTTTGCTCAAACTGGCTGCATCTGTGCAAGAGAAAGCCTTGTAAGACGAGAAGTCTCTGAAGCTCAGGTGGATGGAATTCGAGCGGCTTCCTTTCTAAGTCTATTCAGATCAACTGATCATGTTGTCCGACAGATAGATATGCCAAACACACAACGGGGCACAAAATTCTGCGGAAACATTTGAAAGATATGTGTGACACCTCTTGTAACATGTACGAGTATAGTTCGTTACACATTTTGCTCTGGCTTCTTTTGGGATTAACCTTTTGCAGCCAAAGTTTTCGTTTATTACGACACATTCCGTTCTAATGGATCCAGCAGAGTAGGTGTCTCCCCCCCCCCATAAACTAGGGACGGAAACAGATACAGTTTCCGAAACGTTGTGTTTTCGCGTTTCTAGAATACCGGACGATGGACGAAGTCCACAAACCCAGTGGCTTTACTTCAGTCCGCAAGCGAACTCTACCTACCGAGCGACCGCCGATTGTCGGCGAAGTAATTCTGAATATTATACACCATCGTCAGAAAACTTTGGAATCTATGTGAAACAGTGTTTTCGACCCTCTTTTTTTTTCCCCCAGTATACAGTGACTGGCATAGTGTGCGTAGCGTGCCAAGGCACTATTTTGGAAGAACGTGATCCAGCAACTTCAGATTTCCACAAGGAAGTGAAGGACTTCTTCAGTTGCAAGTCTCCAGAGAAAAGGATTGACAAGACCGGGCCTATCACCTGGCTTCTTTAAGGGGAGGGTGGCTACGACTCTGCCACGCCTTGCTGGGAGGATAAGGACTCCAGTGGCTACAGTTACCCTCGACTTGCTGCACAAAGCGATAACTGGAAGTGTATACAGTTGTGCTATCTGCTGGGTCAGTGAAAATGCCCTCACTGAACATTAGTAAAGTGCCGGCTACAGAACCTTGAGCTAATAACCTACTAAAATGCACTTAGTTTTCTTTCCCATGCCTTTTAATTCGTTATAAATATTACAGTAAAATGGCATAGGCTATATTTCTTGTGTACACCCTTTATTACAATAATCGTATTAAAGGGTATAATTTGGGTGTGGCATGTGACGTGCATGGGCTATCCGAGAAATCTATACAGAATTTGTAGTCACAGCGTGCTGCGTGGAACACATGGGCGTAGATGGGAGAATGATATTGAAATTTCTCTTCAATAAATAAAATTTGAGGGAATGGACTCTATGTTATGGGCTAGTATGGATTCCATTTGGACGTTCTTTTGAAGAAAATAACCTCCATAGAGATATGGGATTTCTGGTAGCATGGGTGACCATTTACTCCTCAATAGTACGATTCTGTATTGAACCAGCCATTTAGTTAGTTAACTGCGAACATTCTGGGTAAGGATTTGTGAAGAGTAGAAAAGGGGTGATCCTCCATCTTCGAGTTATGCGTGGGGCTAGGAGTGCCTCTACGAAATACCAAATTTGTACACAATATCACACAGCCTCCTTAAAATGTGAACAGTTTACCATTATAATGAGAGTAATTAAATAAACCCTAATGAGCTGGGCGGGTCATGTAACACTAATCGGGGAGGCATAGCGTGAATAGAAACTTTTAGCCGATAAGTACGAAGTGAAGAGACATGTTGGCAGACAAAGGAGTAAACGTGAGGTTATTATTAAGATTGATTTTAGAAAAGTAGTTTGTGAGCGTATCTCTAGTCAGTTTTTTAGGATAGCATCTAATGAAAGCATCGCGTGAAGTCCGTACTGCAATATTGGGTTTTTTGATTAGCTGAACAGCTAAAAATTTTTTAAGAAAAGTTGTGCTGCATGGGAAGTCCCAGATTCGATTCTTGGCCTGATAGCCGGATGTCTGTGACTGAGATTTCCCAGTTCCTCCAGAAAACTCTGGGTTAAGCTTATCTTGAAATATACCACGACCATTTCCTGTCAAATTATTCCCAGTATATAATTAATATTCAGCCTCTAAATTTAAGCTGTATACGCTCTGTAGCTATCAGAGCGTCGTAAAATGTACGATCGCAGTTTGTAAGACATTCTTAAGCTAATAGCTTCCTGCTTCTCAAGAAATTCCCCTCCATGTGTTGAACCCGAAGGTATTTTAATTCCACTCTGAAGACGCCTTCACTGTTCCCGATCTTCATTAATTCAGCCCATCTATTTATTTTTCCTTAATTAATTTTTTTAATTCGCTTCGTGGGGGTGGAGTCCAACTGGGTCCACTCGGCACGGCGGCCACTGATTGGCCTATTTTAACCTGCCCCTGGTGATTATGATTGTGGAGAATTTGGTGGAATGAAGATTGGCAAGGGAAATCGAAGTACTCAGAGAAAACCCGCCCCAGCGCCACTGTGTCCACCACAAATCCCACTTGACCAGACACCGGGATCGAACCCGGGCTGCCGCGGTGGGAAGCCAGCGACTAACCGCTGGAGCTATTGCGTGGCCTTTATTTTTTCTTACTTAAAAAATTAATAATGCCATAGTATTTGTGCATAGGACTGCACTCTTCAGAGTTTCCGTCTGAAGCTTTGTAAACACTAGCAGCTCCCCCACTGAGTGTTGCTTTGTTAAATGAAGTAAGAAACATGAATGCTGGCGATATTTGCATTTTGTAATGTCGGCTGTAAATCAGCATGACGCAGGCAGCACATAAATAAAGGGACCAAGGTTATGGCAGAAACGTAAACTTCATGCCCTAGTGCAAACAACGAAACAGAGGAACTTGCTACTTGGAAGGAAAGTCAGGTGTGATTAGCTACTTAAAAAACGTCCCAAGTTAAGTAAAAAAATGAATATGGAAGTGTTTCTACTCACTGTTATAGCATATCTCTGAAATAATATTAAAACTGATAGGAAAATAAATGTCTGTATAGTTGTTAATGACGTCATGATATGTCGAGACGATCTTCTTATCAATTCTGAAAATAAAAGTAATGCAATTAATTTCAATTTTTTATTCATCTACGTCCGTACTGAAGAGCGCCAAAGTCAGCTATAAAGTATACACAATCAAAGAGACAAACAACACGGACACTTACACACAAACAAAGGAAACGTGTGTCATTTAGGCAACCGTCATCATGATGCGCTGAGAATAAATCTACTTATATATATATATATACATTAATTTTGAGTACAGTTAATATTTCAATTCAATTCATTTCAATTCTTTATTATTAATGTGCCGAGTCAACAGCCGCAAGGCCAATTACAGACTCAGCACAGTGTAGATGACTGAATTACATTACATACAAACTTATTAAAAGTCAAATACAAATTACAGTTAAATAATTGGAAGAAATAATAATGAATAAAAGTAAAAGTAAACAAACAAATAAGTGATAATTATAACAGTAATAATAATTCCATTATCATTAAACTAAGTGCTATTACGAATAGAGGAATGAAACATTAATATTTAATTAAGAATTGAATAGTATAGATTTTCTGAGGAAAATTACGTAATTCATTTTGCTTTACTGAACATGCAAATAATAAAAATACTAACAGTTATACTGTATTTAAAATTTGTTTGGGTAGAACATTCCTGGCTCCGAATACGTCAACCTCCCTGCAGACAACATTAGCAGCTGCTGCGCATCTAGCAGAGGGACAATTCTTAAATAAAGGGCAAACATTGAACAATGCAAAATCTCTGATATACCGAGCAGGAACTCGGAGACCAACAATTTCCAGGGCCGAATGGCAGAATTTAGAGCCAAAATAAACTTGAATAAGAAAGAGAGCATCAAGGCGATGTCTCCTAGTACATAAAGTATGTAATTTTAACTCCTCAAGAGCAAGAGAATAATTGTAGTGAACTTTAATAATAATAATAATAATAAGGTAAAATTTAAGAGGGGAAAGGTAAATTTCGCGCTTTGCTTAATGACCTAAGTACTGTTCCTCGAAGACGTATAAGGGAGTAGTGGTTTAGTCTCCCTTTTCTTGACCTCGGCACTAGTGTGAGGTGAGTGGTAAGCTTCACACCCCTGCCGCCTTGCCTCCTGGGAAAGAGTCCCCGGTACCCAGTGGGTAGGAGGCAGGATGGGCCTCAGTGTCAGTCTGGACTCTGTGGAGAAAACAAAATTCTTGCGCTGCCGGGAATCTAACCCGGGCCATCCAGTCTGTAGCCTGTCACTTTACCGAATATACAGTGAGACACTTGCTATACTGCAGACAGAGCAACATGCCAAATGCCACTGCTTGTTACAGAAAGGAGACGAAGACCTAAAACAGTTTCATTCTTAGATATTTATGTTTCCAACCGTAGTACGTAATATTCATGTAAGACCGCCTCTGTGGTCTAGTGGTCAGAGTCCCTGGCTAAAGATCCAGAGGTCCGGGTTCTATTCCCGGCTCTACCAGATTTTCTGAGAAGTAGTGGGTCTGGAACGGGGTCCACTCGGCCTCGTAACGATTATTGAGGAGCTATTTCAAGGAAATAGCTGCTCCGGTCTAGAAATTCGAAATTAACGGCCATGCGGATCCGTTGCGCTGACCATGCGACACCCTCTGTCCTCAAAGTTGGCATTAACTTCGCCGAAAAGCCGCAGTCGCTCGCTCGGTATAGTTCGCTTGTGGACTACAGGCCACGGAGTAATATTCATGTATGAGTGTTCAGGTAACATAATGGTAATTCGATTCTCTCTCTGTGAAGCAATGCTTGTTTATGAAAATCAATTCTATGAGAATTGTAATGAAATGTATCTGTCTTCAGTATGTTTGCACCATCTATCTGATAAAGGTGACCACACTTACTTGACAAGTTGTTTCAGAGCGCAGGAAATATTTCTGCCGTTGTCACTGCAGCGAATTGAGTCTTTCAAGTTTCACGAATCCTTCCGTTGCTCAGGATAATGCTAGAATTTAGAACTGGCGTAGAATTTGCACGTCATGTGACCAGACGTCCCACTTAGGTAGATAAGGAAGGCTGTCCATTAACACTAACCTTGACTACATACATAAAATGTGTCATATTCAAAATATATTCCGTTTTTTTTTCTTTTTACTTTTGCGATGCGCAACATATGAGTCATACTTGATTACTTGCTTGAGATACAGTGGAAACTCCTTCTATTTGTACTTTAACATTTCTCCCATTCTGAGACAGTCTTTCATACGTTACGCTGTGTATTTTTGTATGTAATCTTTATAAATATATATTCATACGCACTGCATATTTATTCAGAATTACTGTTTTTGGACTTTTCCGTCGTCCGGTATTCTAGAGAGTAGAAAACACGACGTTTCGGAAATAGATCAAGTTTCCGAAACATCGTGTTTTCTAGTCTCTAGAATATCGGACGATGGAGAAAGTCCAAAAACCGAGTAATTCTGCGTGTTATATACCATATTTAGAACCCTTTAGAATCTGAATGTTATTTGTTTCTTAGTTTATTTAACGCTTTCGCATCTGCGGAAATTATAAATGCAGAATGGGGTTATGATGGTGGCTGATGATTTTTGTATTTAATTACCAGCCTATTTACAATCTACTATCAATAATATGGAGTAATAAGTAAATTTGTTCTAAGTATGTGTCTTGAGTAGATAAGTCATCCACTGATGATATTCCGACAGGCTCTGTAGAAGAATGGTGACGGTTTTCATCTTCGTCATCTGCGGGTTGTGGTAGGTCAGACGGCCACTGTACCCTCAATCTTCTTCTTACATTTGGTGGGTTGCTAATTTCTACAAGTCTGTTATTGTGTCCGAGTATGCTTTGATGGTTGAGTGATGACAGTCTCTGTACTTCTTCTAGGATAAAAGGGATTTGCAGATCATTGTGGATAGTAAAGTTTGGGACTTAACAAGGTGCTTTAGTTACTGAGTGCAAGAATTTGGATTGAAGTCTTTGAATTATTTTTGTGTTTGTGATTTTGTACAGCCCCACAGCTATATACCTATGTTCATATGGGTTTTATTATACACTTACATAGTAGAAGCTTGTTTTCTATGGATAGCTTGGATTTACGGCCCAAAGGCCAGGACATTTCTCGTACGAGTAGTTTCAAATTTAATTTCTGACGCTTTGTTTTGACGTGTATCTGCCATGTCAGTTTTTGGTCGAGGTATAGTCCCAAATATTTTACTTCAGTTTTAATCGGTATTTGCATATAGCATTTCAAAGCTTGAATGAATGCTAGGGTTCTGCGTACTTATCGAATCACATTAATTTCCGTCATATATATTTAGAATGATGAATGAATTTAGACAGTTTATTTATCATATTATTTAAATTATTTAAGTTTATTAAATATAGACCAATCTACCTATTTTATTCATTAATAGAAAAAAAAGTCCCTCGCCAACAGCCAAATGCTTTTCGTTGCTAGTACAAATATATTGTTACGAACCTACTCACAGCACCGAGAGTCAGAAATTGTTCCTATTCTAAGTTTTTAAATATTCGTAGTGGTGAAACGTAACGAATTTTAGTTTAATCTTGTAAATCTCGATTTGGTCTATATTTTGGCCGGATAGTCCACGTTCAGGGCCCGGCCTTGTCTTCTGTTATTAGGGTAATCTTGATCTAAATTGACATTAATCTAGATTTCGCATGGAAATGTTTGTCCAGAAAGCGACCTAAACGCGAGACTGATACATGTATACGGTTCACCTCTATTTGTTAATTCTCTTTTGGGTTGAGGGGAGAAGCTGTCTAATTTTCTTTCAGAAACCCACTGGACGGAATTATTTTAATGCATTGGAAGCGCAGCACCGTCTGTACCATTTTCTGGTAACGGCCATCTCTTCTAGCTCCACTATTCCGGTCTTTTAGCTGCCATATCATATTATCATTCATCAACGAAGTCCATATTTGCGAGACCCTCTATCCCAAACGGTCGTCCTTCAAGTCCGGCCATTTGAAAAACACACTGATATAGCAGAAATTTCGGTCGAATTTTTATTTGTACAGTATGCATCATATGTATGCTACACAGAACAGCAAATAAACGTTCCATGTCCTCTTAATAGGTAAATGCGAAGGTAAATTTGCCCACATGCCTAATTAAGCACAAGGTCATTAAGACGTATTAAGTAATTGAGGTAGAGCTCCACGCATTCTTAATCTCGCCAGTGGGTGGAGGTCAGTAATCAGCTACATGTCCCGGCCACTTTACCGCGGGAGAAAGAGCCCATTAAATAGTACGCTAGATGGATCTCAGGGTCGGTCTGGATGATGTAAGGAACAGAAAATGCTCGTCTTCGCCTGGAATCAAACTCCGATTCTCCAGTCATCCAGCTAGCATCCTAATATGACTGAGCTATTCCGGCCCCTTAGGAGGATATATTCTCTTGCTAGGTATGAAATGTAACTTTTATTTTTGTCTTTTATTTTATACAACAAATATGAGGGGCATTATTATTAAATAAATCAAAAATTAAAATTCTTATGACGTATATAGACTCAAGTAAAATTATGTCGATACTCCTCCAGCTGTAGGCAGAATGTCTTGTTATTCAGCTTATAAGAAATATCGAACACAATTTTACGAACATCCGAGAGATTCTGTGCGCTGTATGTCTGGACGTCAAGATTGAATTCACCCTTGTAGAACAGCCACTGAAATTTAAAAAAAGAAAGCCCTAAATTAGATAACGCATAAAATATACTTGGAATTTATAAACCATATTACCGTGCAACAAAGATTAGTAACTAATAGAAAATCTATGTGGTATCTTAAATTTTTATTTTTGGAAACATGGCTTGATATCAAGTACAAATGATTTAGCGATTGTCTCTTGCGGCGAATTTTTATGTATGAGTTATAAGGATAAAGTGACCTGTCTTCTCTATATTGTTCACAAACTATTAATGAATATGCACTTAGTTACAACCATTAAGTAAGAATTTATTAAAATTCAACATTTAAGTACATTTTATTTTAAGAAAAAAGAGGTTTAGCAAGCTAACGCATACGTTTTCTTTTTCTTATTTCAATTCAAAGCACTATACAGTAAGTTGGATAGGGTACAGTAACAACATCAATACAGAACCGAACAATGAGTAACATTCAGCAAGAAGTCAAGAACAGACTCAAGTTTGGGAATAAAAGCTTCTTGCCCTTCAGTTCAGATCAGAATTTCCTTTCCTCTCTCCTCCTTTCTGAAGACTAAATTTAAGGTATGCAAAATTATAAGTTTACCTGTATTATAATTTATTTTCAGCTTTGTTTACCATCAACAATGCAACAATAGCAAGATTTAAAATTAAATCCTATTAAATTTCGCCACTCCACTGCATGTTTCAGCCCACTCGGTCCTCATCAGGTGCATTGGCATTCGGGAAACTGCTGTGCCTTTCGTGTTATTGCGATCGTGTTTTCGTATTTACAGTGTTTTTAAACAATATCAGTGTAATTTTACTTCTGTATCAAGGGTATTATGTTTTTTTGGCATGCTTGTTGTGTATCAAGTGTGAAGTGTGGATGTTATCTTGATGATGCTGCATGGTGAACGGTAAACGAAACTGTAACAATTGTGATGCCTGCTGCAAAAGATGCTAAGATACAACATTATCTCATTATAGTGGAGTTAGTTTCCTGCCGTGAGGGGAGAACAGAAACTGAGGACATAAGAATATAGCGCTGAGGAGAGTATTGGTATCTGAGACAAAGAAGCAGGACGTTGAAGAGAATTATGTAATGAGATCCTCAGAGTTTGTGCTCTTCACCGAATATCATTATAATGACAAAATCAAGAGGTTGAGGTGTGCGGAATTGTAACACCTATATGAGACGTTAAAAATATATAAAAATGCTGAAGTTGCAAAATCTCAAAAGAGAAGCTATTTGTATATTTAGGTGTACATACTGAACTGAGTCTTAAAGAATTACGAAGTGAGAGCGTGGATTGAATTAACAGGGTCCAGTGACAGGTTCTTACTATCAGGCTTATCAGCTTTCAGCTTCCGTAAAAGTAGAAGAATGTCTTGAGAAAATGAATGATTATTATCCTCTGAACTAGGCCTCTCTGTAGCCTGCTGCATGTAAAGTAAAAAAAAAACTTCTATAACGTGAAAGGTGTTAGTACGCAAACAGCACTCTCTTTGGATTCTGTGTGATATTCTCCTGCTGAAGATAAAGTATTGTGACAGGTTGCGAAAAGCCGAGCCCCCCCCCACACCAGCAGTGACGCGGCGGTGAGTCAGCGCTCCCCTCCCACCCCTCAGCGGTAACTGAGCGCTCGCGTAATAGGCGAGTAATCACCCCGCAATGCGCGACGCGCGGTGACGTCACGAGCGGAGCCGAAGAGAGCCGAGCGGAGCCGAAGATAGCCGAGCCCCGTAACCTGGCAACTACGCAATGCTAATCAACAGCGGTGACGTCACAGTATATTTGAATGAATAAAATGCGTTCTCTTTCCCATGTCGAATTCGGAATCCCCGCATCCGAAACTCGGTCCGGCGATAAATTGTACTGTCTGACTTTGATGAGTCTCTTCAGTTCCACCACACAAATTTCGTGATCATTCCTCAAACTAGACCACGAACGATTTCTTATATGTGCCTACCACTTAAATATGCACAAGTAACATAGCAAACGAGTAAATAAGTAACTAAGTTAACTAAATCCATGGAGCTAGTCATGGGAAGCCGTTATTCTCTCAGCTACTCAAGAATTTCCCAAAATTCTATGGAACTTGAAGGTACATTACCGTGTTTACAAGAGCCTGCCACTGGTCCCTATCCTCATCCAGACGAATTCAGTCCATAAATTCCATTCTATTTCTGTAAGGTTCACTTTAATCCCTTTTCCTACACATAGGTCTTTTTAACTCTCTCTTTCCTTCTGGCTGAAATATGAAAAGGAGAAAGCCTCGTTATATGTACAACAAGAATAAAGATAGAGCTCACCTTTGGCGATGTGCCGTTCGCTGCAAACATATGCACGCTTCCATTCAGCGCCATGTCTTGTGCAAGATGTCCGTTTGCTGTGGCGTATTTCGTGTCCTCATCAGTAATTCCGGAAGTGCACTCAGAGAATTTAACAGACACCTGAAAATGTACGCGATATTTCCTCTATACACAACAATTTGTTGCCTGTAACCTGATGTAGAAAGCCTGTGTATTTATTAATTACATTCACTGACATGTTATTTCTTTAATATCTCAGATTTAGTGCCGTGATAAAATTAAGCGAACAATAGAGATACCATGACTTGTTCGAAATGTGAATAGAATTGAACTCAAAAAGCAAACTTCTGCGGTAAAACCAAGAACTTGATGGATGGACTAAGTGAAGACAGATGTAGACAGAATTAACGATCTTATAAATGCAGGAGAAAAGTTGATGATGGCCACGGTAAGAGAGCACAGGAAAATGGCGGTGACATTGACGATGGGATGATGAAGTCTGCGATAATTGCGATGTTATAGAAACGGCTAATATTTATTAAATATAATGTACATATAACATCGTTAAGATCGAAGTCAACCGAGGGGGGTTCAGGTTTATCAGCATATACAAGTGATCTAGTAATTAGGACTGCAATATGGGAAACACATCCCAGGAAAGGTCAGAGGTTATGTAGCCTCTGGGAGCTTCAAGTCCCAGGCTAATAAAGAGAATGGTGAGGTTCCATAGCGATCCGTTATGTATGATGAACGTTTCAATTTCTTGTCACATAATCATTCTCTTTGATTTATATATACGAATCTCTCTTCTCCAGTTATTATTGCTATCAGCCTACTTGTCTTATTTTGAAACAAGAAGTTCTGGGAAGAGCTAATCGCCCTACTTTCCTTTGAAACGACACGGACCGTATAGAAAACTTAGCGCCCAACAGTTCTTCTATCGTTGCTTGTATATTTGTTGCCACGGTAACGTTTTTACTGGGCTGTTGCCTGGCAACGAAAGTGGAGTACACATACAGACACACAGACTGATGGGAGGGATTTATGAAGTACGCCGTTTTTGTAGGCTCATGGGCCGTAATATTCACACCAAGGTTCATAAAGACTGGTTCAGGCTTTCGAAATTTGATAAGGGGGATACACAACCATACAGACAGACGGAGAGAATGTTGATCTCATAAACCTAATTTCATTTGTAGCCTAATTTCCTTATTTTGGAAGGTGAACGCAGTATTATGCGAATCTCCATGCTGTGTGTCTCCCCCTCTCACCCCTTCAACTTTAGAATGTCTCAACCAATCTTTATCTAACTTGTTTTTCAAAATAAGGAAAGTAGGCTAAAAAGAAGAAGACTTATGAGTTCACCTTGCTGTCTGTGGGTCTTTGTGTCTATCTGTATATATGTATCCCCCTTAACTTCTGAAATTCCTCTGTCGTTGCTAAGCAACGGCTCGTTAAACACGTTTGACGCATTGTTTTCTACAATATCCATGTCGTATTAAACGATAACAGGCGATTAGTTATTGCCAGAACTTCATGTTAGTGTTGCTATTAATATAATTATCAGGGCGATTATGGTCAAGTATGATGAGACGAGCTGGCAACATTGGTCGGACCGGGAACGTGAGAACCACGAAGAGAAATTTAATCGGAAATTTTTGAAGGAACAGATCACCTGAAAATATAAACTTAAACGGGAAAATAATACTAACCTTGGTCTTAAAGAAGCAGAGTGCAAAATCGTGGATTGGATTCCACAGGCTCAGGTTAAAATTGTATGAGCCCGATTGTGGGCTTTCGGATTCCATGAAAGGTGGAGAACGTCTCGCTCATCTGACTGACTCTCATTGTCTCAAGAAGGAAATGGGATGGAACTGAATCTGACTCAAGAAACGAAATACTGACTTACTGAACACTATATCTTGTCGCAAACTTAAAGAGAGCGACCCGTGTATTATTTAAGTCACACAGATTTCAATTCCAGGATTTATGATTACAGACGAAGCCTAGGTATCGCTTACATGGGGTGACCGTTGCTCGCTATGAGCCGATAGTCGAACAGTAAGTCAGTTAAGTAGAAGAACTCCAATGGAAGCTCTTAGTTATATACTACGATTAGTCAATAAGTATTCAAACGTAAAATGGATTTGAAGTTAATTTTATAGCCAAACACGTGCTAAGTAAATTAAAAATAATAAAACTAATATAGAATTCATGTTCATTATGTAATGAAAACAGTTTTTCTTGCGCAATTTCACTGTTCAGATTGTATTCAGAATTCAGTTACCGAAGCGCTGTATACTTGTGGCAGTGACACCATCTCAGCGAATATGGTTACAGCCAGCACTGTGGCTATATTCTTTACAGGACCCATACTGCAACACAAGATAATAATATGTTCACTTTACTCTGCTCACTGCAGCTTATTGTACACAAAATATGTTTAATTTTTACAGGAAACTATAGTAATTCCCTCTGGGAAGAGCAACGGGATGTCTGGTCGTTTGTTATTTAAGCTTCCTTACCGTTATCATCTTCGCCTGTTTTCTACCATATTCTTTTCCGGTAGGTTACAGAATGATGCGCTGGAGCCGAGATTTATTTCCACCTCCCACGAATAATACGCACACAGAAAAAATTAGAAACTATGTACTTTATATAGCGCACTAAATTTATATATCCACAACAAAAAAATATTAACATTCACAAAATAGGCACGATACACTGAAACAAAAAGTGATCTGCCGCTCATTCGTAATGTACTGCATGACTTAGTTTCATGCAACGTGTTTACATTCGATAATTCTTTGTTAGGATAAGCTGAAGTTATATAATAATAACGATAGTTCTTACACTTACAGAGCTGTTTTAGTCCCATTTAAGGACATGTAAGGAGGAATATCTAGTTGCTGCAGTTAAAATACGAGATACCTCTCCGTCACTAGCGCAAGTAGAACAGCTGATAGTCTTCGCTGAGATCGCCTTTTTTTCAAAATAATGACATCATCTGAATATTTTTTACACCCTTGATTTTGACGATGAAGGCGAATGAAAACAGTGGAGTTTTCAGAGCGGTATAATGCACTATTCTGTCATTCATCAAGCAGGACTGAGGATCACCATGTAGACAATCAGTGGCGCCCTCCTTCACACTGATATTCTAACCAGGAGCTTCCCAAAACAAAGTAGCTCTATTAACAACTGTTATCATTTTATGAAAGGACATAATTTCATGCTTTCAATACTTATTCAGTAGCATCGAGGAATACATTTAATATTATAAACACAAAAAATGAGAAGGCGATAATTATTTGAATTTATGCATAAACTGCATCAAACCAGAAAATCAAAATGCGGTACTCCTACTGTTCTGTATTTGTCTGGTACGGACAGGTAGCTCCTGAATGAGCAGTTCTGAAGGATCGTTCAGTGGAGTGAATTCTCACCAGGAAAAGTGAAACATTATAGAACTCATCCACACTCACACTGATTTCTGACGATATTGCATGAAGCCAGGGACACACACAGATCATAGAACACAGGTAAAGTTAAAGGAAAAGGTAAAGATATCCCTGTAACAGGCTGTGGAGGTCCATAAGGTTGTCAGTTGTTGAAGCTCCCACATATTCTAGACAGTCGGCTCGCAGATGGCGGTGAGGTTGTCAGCCTTACGCGTCGGCCGCCCTTTACTCCCAAGAACATTCCTAGAAGATTCCTGGTACTCATTTCTGTTAGAGGCTGAGTCGACCCCATAGCCATAGTGCGGCTGCAAGGATTAGGTTAATTGAAAAAAAAAATCCACCTAATCGGGATTCGATCCAGCGACCTTCCGGCTTGTAACATAGTGCCTCAACCAACTACGCTACCGCTTGCCCCCTCATAGAACACAGGACGCAACAAAATAACAATTATTATGTGTACAGTTCGGGCTAGTAGAAGTAAAGTATGCTGGACACTAAATAACGTGTAGAAGAACTTACTTAAACATAACAAAGTCATATTTAATTTAAAAATAACGCTTTACCCATTCTTATAATTCTTATTATGTATCGTCTCTCCGAGATTTCTTGACCTTCCCGATGTCGCATTACGTGAGAATGTATGTCGTAAACTGAATTATGAAATAGCATTTTGAGTCAATTAAATCAAATGGCGAATCGTTCAAGAGAGCAAAAAGCAATGAATCAAGTTGCAGACTTTCTACTTATAGTTAACAAGAGCCAGTGCATCAAGTGAATCACTGAGTCGCTAACTTTAACAGTAGGGGAGACCGGGGTTTGTCGTTACATGGGCCTATTTGTTAAATTCAAATTTAAAATCAATCGCCAGCAGTAATAGCTCCGCCAACTAACAGGTAGACATCGTACAGGATCTCTGGTAATCCACACTCAATAGTACATCAGCAGTTGGCCTTCCTGTATGAAAGCAAAAGAACGTGATTTCTTCGCATTCGAGTAATTTTTCGATTCCTTTGTTTTTGTTTATAATAGAGAGTTAATTTCGTGGCATCTATGCTACTGAAAATAAGGGGTATTTTACTGTAATATTTTGAACTTCGTAAAACATATCTTTATTCTTGTAATTAATTTTGGAAAAAAAATGCGTAACAATGTTTAAGTTGTTACAACTAGCTAGGGGTTGTAGATTCTAAAAGGTTCTGACAATGGTGTGCAACACACAGAATTATTACATGTACACGTATTACTAGCCTCTAACAGAAATGAGTACCAGAAATCTTCCTGGGGGTAAAGTGCGGTCAGCGCGTAAGGCTGATTGTCTAGAAAATGTGGCAGCCTCAAAGTCTCACAATCCTATGGGCCGTCAACGGCCTGTTACAGGGATACCTTTACCTTTTCATACATTGATGTGATGCGGACCACTGTAACCGCTTTTATAAATGTTATACTACATATGCCTTTCTTAACTAATCATGGATCCAAAATCAACATTTTTTCCTTCATCGAAATATAATTAAATTCAACATATATTATTAATTTAAAAATGGTAATTTTAATGACGTTATACATGTTTATACTCATTAAATAAATATAATAAAATTTAAAAGCGCATGTAAATTGCTCTTAAGATAATAATATAACAATTAAGCCCATGTAGTGCAAAAACATACCTCATACTGTGGCACGTTGTTACATTATGCATGGTCATAAAGAAATGCAAATACTTTTTAAATACGGGGATCGTATGAAAAGTATTAATTTGAAGATCATTTATGTCACTAACAATATTGTTCCAATACATACAATACTACTATAGCAAAAAAAAATGCAACAGCTAGTCCCGGTCTCCCCTACCTTTGAGTCATCTGCAGCGTGTAAATCGATTCAGTAAAAGAAGCTGTCGTCCACGCTTACAGCACTGAGGTCTCCTTATAAATTCGAAGGATATCAGGTAATGCCAAATTGTAGACAGTGTTCTGCGAAAGATCCTGCAACTCACTGAACATCTCATTGGGATCAGTTCAATTTAAATACCGTGCTAATGGGCCCGGAGCCGGAAAGGTATAAAGTGTATTTCCACGTGACGCAATTGTTTGCTCTAAACAAATAAAAGCACGTGCTTACCACATATTACACTGAGATTATCCAGTCACAGTAACTAGGACATATGCCAGTATGACACGCGAACGGAGCAGATTTCGGTATTGTTTTGACCTTGGTATCATTCAGTTAGATTTAACGTTGCAGGAAAATGCCTCATGGACATATTTATCCTAGTATGCAAATATACATAATTCTACGTGCTTAGATCATACTTTTAGTGTCGGTCAACATCTAAGGTTTCTGAAACTTCCTTCTTTTGAGGAATAAAAAATGCGAAAGGATATGTGTATTTAACATGTGTGCTTAGCATAGCTAACATACGTACACGATCTTAAAATTACATATAAGGAAATGAAATAAAGCTAATGTGAGAAATGGAGTGATATTCTGTAATTCTCTGGGTGTCTATTTTATAAGTAGATGAATTTAATAGGCACTCCGCAGGGCTGCTTATGTGTAGAAACGGAACTTTATGAGTTCACCATTTAGTTTATGTCCTCTTTCAACTTTGGGATCAATTAGTCGAATTTCACGAAACTACCATGACAACTTCTTACGTTTTAACTACTTTCTTTCTAAGAAAATAAAGTCGGCTTCTGACATCAAACTGCTATCTGTGGGTCTGTCTATCCATCTGTGCATTTCCCTTACAACGTTTGAGCCCATTTTCACGAATCTTAGTATGGACGTTGTGCAACTGGAAGTCACCCCAGCCTCGTGCTTTTTAAATTATTTCTATCAAACAAGACTATAGTGGACCTACAAAGTTATGATGTGGGAGCGACCTTGGCTCCAATTAAGTTAGAAATACCTAAATAATATATCGTAATAAATTTGTTTGTAGAATAATAAAAAAACATGACTTATTTTACCTCCCCCGCTTTGTTCGTATGATAAGTTGTAGGCCTGTATCGACCATTGGAAACACCTCAAGATCTTTGAAAATATTAGGGACATCAGACTGGCGAACCAGTGGTCACAGTTAGCCGACCGCTTCGCAGACACAGCCACACTTTGACATAAGGGATCTTTGACCGCCCTCGGCCCCCATTATCAGTGACTCCATTGGAATAACAAAATATCCTTATAGCATCAACCGTGGAGACGAATACATAGCACGTGAAGACTGTTTCTCAAAGGCCACTCCATAGCTCAAGCGGTTAGTCGCTGTTTTCCCACGGCGGCGACCCGGGTTCGATCCCGGGTCTGGTCAAGTGGGATTTGTGGTGGACAAAGTGGCGCTGGGGCAGGTTTACTCCGAGTACTTAGGTTTCCCCTGCCAATCTTCATTCCACCAATTGCTCCACAATCCCCCTCACCTATCATCTGGGGCTGGTATAATAGGCCAGAAGTGGCCGCAGTACAAGGCACATAGACCCACTCCACTAGCAATAAAAATATTTAAAAACACAACGTTTCGGAGACTGGATTCTGTATCCGTCTTCAGGTAAGACCTAGTCATTTGGAACCAATCGATATAGCTAGTCATATCTTCGGAGATAATCACCATCCACGTGCACTTTCCCTAAGTTCCACCAGATAGATATTTAATGCAATAAATTTTGTAATTGAAAATTATTAATAATTAATTGCTTGAAACTTTATAATAGAAGATATCTACGCGCTACGTAAATTGAAAATGAGAAATTATTTACAGGAGCAGGGATGTCATAGCATTAACTACTAGTGCTCTAGCTCCAAGATTACCATTGTATTGATATCTTATAAACTTTTAATAGTTAAACCCTATTTTAACGCGTTATTATGTATTTGTATATGTTTACATGTAACTTAGGCCTTGGCGAATGCTATTAATGACGACGGTTCCGCCAGCAACCAGTCTGTCTTATCAGTCGCCGTGGTTTTCAAGAATGTAAGCACACGGTTGGAGAGACACTGCAGTGTTGACATAGGGGTTTGAACAAAATAATTGAAACGCTACAGATATTGTACACATTTCTTTATTATTAATACAGCCACACTCTTTCTTCGAATGGACTCGTACAAGTTTAGAACAGTCTCCAGTGAAATTTTATACCATTCTTCTTGGAGAACTTTTTCAATTTGCTTTAGAGATGTTGGAGATGGGAACCTGTTCCTCACTCTTATCTCCAAAACTAACCTTAGTAGTTCAATGGTACTCAAATATGGTTTTATGCTAACCAGTGAATATAATGTAGTTCAACTTCATGCTCTTCGAATTGTGACTGAACGGTTCCAGGTGTGCGAATGGGGGAACTGTCGTCTTGGAAAACTGAGTAGTTCGGAAAAATGTTAGGATTATGGGGCTCACCTAATTACTCAAACTCTGCACTTACTCCATTGCAGTAATTCGACCATGAAGGGTAATATTGGGACCAAGAGAACACCGCGACACTGCTACCGAGAACATCCGCTGTGTTTCACCGTTGAAACCAGGTGTTCCAGATTGGACGCTTTCTTTGTTGATCTCCAAACGTGAACTTTTCCCGATGTAGGGAACAGCGTGAAGGACGACTCATCTGACCATATCACGTGACCGTTTGCAGTTGTTTGATGTCCAGGTTTTATGGTCGTGACACCACCGTTTACGCATCTGAGCATTACTTTCATTAATCAGAGGTTTAGCAACTGCAGCCCTACCATGAATGTTGGATTTGTGTAGTTCACGTCTGACAATTTTTGTGTAAACAGTGTCTTCAAGATGAATATTCACTCCTGCTGTCACCTGTGCTGCACAGTTCCAAACAATACTTCTCAATGCACGACGATCTCTTTCTGTCAATGTTGATTTTCGCCCACTGTTCCTCTTCTCATGATTCATGTATGCCGACAAAACGTTAGAAACTCTCGCTCTCGATACACTAATAATGTGTCAGTTTTATTAGAGATGCCCCAGCTAAACGTGCACCAACCGTCTGTCCTCTTTCAAGATCAGACAAGTCCACATCTTTCCAATTCGTTTGCATAGTCATCAACACAAACGCTAATGCACTTACAGGAGCACTGCAGAACATAAACAAATAGATGAAGAACATTCAGTGTTACCAATTGAATTTCTNACTTCTCTTGTATGAATGGGTTCAAGCCGAAACCAGTTTTTTATCCTATTCTTTTCTCCGTATTGAAGTTATTCTGGTCTTAACGACGGCGAGTACCTACAGTAGGCGAAGTTATAATCTTAAAATGCAAGTGACCGCCATGAAATATGAAATTGTACTTCAAATTTCATTCTGCAAGGAGAAGCCAGTTGAGTCATGAAACGATGGATGGCTTTCCCATGGAATCCCATGGCCTTCTGCTGCTTTAATTTTTGTGAAAATCGCACAAACAGGTTTATTGCTGCTAAAAGGAGGCGGTCACCATCATATTTTCGGCTTATATTTGGGCCTTGTAAGAGAACTGAGCGCATCTTCATTTCGGCCTGGATATATACACAACAAGGACTATTCACCAAGCAAGTTTTGCTGAACCTTTAATTCCGATAAACATTCTTGGGTCGGATGCTGCTGAAACTCCCTTGAACATCGCGAATTGTCTCGAAATACTTCACTTAATTTTGTTCTTTCATTTCTTGTTGCGTACTTCGCTTACTCTTCCACCCTGTGCATCCCTCCGAAACATTGGGAAACTTCTGCAAAGCTACACGGTGTCACATTCCTAAATATAGCACTATTTTTTTCATTTCATGCATCCTGTTGTGTTAGAATATAGAACCTCTTTAATACAACCATCACAACACAACAAATATCAAGATCAGTGCCTAGTTTCGGCTCTGCTACATGTTTCTGCTATCAGTAGCCATCATCAGGCAAATACATGGTTAACATATATACACCACTGAACTGCAGTACTAGTAAAATTGGATACAGTACCATTAATTATATAAATTTACATCCCCTACAGAACGGACAATACTTTGTAACATGAGGCACCGACTAAACAATTAACATTAATTTACTACATCTACATTACGAGCCTCCTATACAATTTTTATACAAAGAAATTATATATGTATATAGAATATTTAAATTTGTCCGTGGGAACGCAACGAAATTACAAACCCAACGACTGATTCGATGATATAAAACATGAATCTAAGAATTTTATTCTTGTTTTATACTATAACTTCTAATTTATATAATCTGATTTATTGTATTTTTACGTCAAGTGTTTTATATAATTAATATACTAATTCATTTGTTTGTTACAGACTGGCGACGCACTGCATGCTGCGCAGTCGTTCAGCCGGTCTGATTCTGCAGGTGCTGCTGTCTGGGGGAACGTACAGACATACATTTGGTAAGTTGATTATGCAGGCGGGCTTACAGTCCGTCTGGGATCTAAAAATCATCTTAACATGGTTGAATGTCATTCACACAGTTTCATAAAGTAGCTATAATTTCATTAGGGGGATTTCAACAGACTGTTTCTCTTTTCGATTTATTTTACAGCGCTCTCATAAATAATAACTTGGAATTGATTTACAAGCAAGCAGTCATGGCTTAATTGAGATAAAATCCGGATATTTTTATCTAAGTCAGGATGCCCAGTATCTCCGCCGATTTCTGAACCCAGAACCTCCGCAGTGCAAGATCAGACCACTGCACCAAACCTGTCTGCCTTAGTCATATGACATGGCATTACGTAATTGTAATTTACAGGCATCAGTTACTTGAGATGTACTATCTATTGTAGGGGCGCTAATGTCACGTGGCGCCTGGCGTCGTGAAAATAAGTCGGTCAATGCCCTGTAATGATCACAGTTCCCTCCTCTTCCCTGACGCCCCGCCATATTAGGCGTTTCCATGGTGAACAGTCACTGAACTCCTGAAAAGTGAGTGGAATACATGGCTCAGGTCAGCGTGACCCGCTTTCTGCTGTCTGATAAATTAACCTGCGTGATGAAGCTAGAAGTTTACTTATTCATATCATTTCATCCATTGTACAATCATTAAATAGCGCACCATAACTATTACTCGTTCTCTGCACGGTGTACATGAACCCATATTTGTCCTCATGTCTCAGTTCGAAATACTCCGGATGGATTTTGATGAACTTTAGTATGAACATTACTCCATTGGAGGCTATTCTAAAGTGTATATATACATTTTTTTGTTTCTTAAAGTCAATAACACCAACATGAAAGACGGCCGAGCCTTCGAGACTGGAGCGAAATTAGTCACACTCACTGCATGTTTCTGTAATTATGCATGGTAACGTATTTTTGAAGAACACTCAACTACTGTTGAGCTTTCTTTCGTAAAATGTAAGGCAACAAAATGGTGGCTGCATGAATTATACATTCAGATTTCAGTTTCATAATGATAATTAATGGACTATTGTAGTCGGGCATATGAAATTCGGTATGGATATAGATCGTCAGTATGCCTTCAAATTATATATTAATTATTGTTTCTAAATCAGCAATCAAAACGTGGCGGCATTAAGAACCTTTGATATTAGGTGCAAGAAATTTAGTTTGAAAGAGTATAAACATACAGGTATTATTTAAAGTTATGAAAGATAAAGGTAAACTTCCCCGTTCTTAATAAAATAAGCACCACACCATGAAGACCATCCCTATTCTCGGAACTAGACAGAGGTAAGTGACCAGGTTGGCGCCCCTCCGCCTCACCCCGGGGAATTGGCCCCTGTTACCTGTCGCATAGGAGCCTGGATAGAACCCACAGCCTGTTTGAACGCTATAAAAACAGAAAATCTCTTACCCCTAACGGGAATCGAAGTCAAATTCCTCGATCATCCACCCCATTGCCTTGTCGCAGTACCGACGAAACCATTGATTCCAAAAGTGGACTGTACCGCCTTCTTGGGGAGGTGGAATTATCTAAGGGGCGTTAAGCGGCAAGGGTGCGGTACGAGGTCCTGGAGGTGGGCTCCTCTGAGCCATGAATGAAGTGACTTCAGACCAGATATGGGGAGATTGGTATCAGTTCATCAAGCCCATCCATCACGTTAAGAAATTACTAACAGTGAGGTATTTACTAAACGTGGTCTCTTAGTTTATTGTTATTATGTCCAGTAGTGGGTTGTGCAAACAGCTGTTCCGAAGAATGCTTTAATTGGGTAATGCAGAGGGCACTAGGTATGAGTTTGGGGAACGAAGGGGGGCGGTGACCCGAAAAAGTTCTGGAGTCACTGGACTAAGTTATCCCGGTTCCATATTTGAATTTGTAGGCGTATTTATTATTTTTTAAATGTTCGGTAAATCTACTTGCAACAATTAAGAGCGTTCAGATACAAAATGCAAATAACCAGTGTGGAAAATCTATGAACCCCTGTATTGATTACACATTTCAGTCTACTTCTGTATTCCTTGTTAACAATGAAACATTAGATTAAGATACCATCATGTCCATGGGTCAAATCAGTGTCACGAATTTGAACAAGTGGACGGATTTGCTTGGAATTGGATATAAAAGTCTAGCGACCTTTCCTTGCACATATAACAAAATCAAGGAGACTGCGAGACCTTATAGTTGGAAGCGACATTAGAGCCACTTAACATAGGTTCGTAAATGCTTTTGTGAAAGTAGATCGCCGAAAAATATGCAAAATATAACACTGCTTAATGCATTTTTGATGGCCTGAAAATTTTAAAAATAATACACTTTGGACTCGAAGGTGAAATCAATTGTGAACACTTTCAAGGATTAGGCAAATAGTGCAAAGTCTTTAGTGTCATGCTTGCAGTAACCAGATCACTCCATTACAACGAAAATGATAAGTTTCAAAAAAATATTTTCTATGTTTTAATGACAGAACAGATGATTGAAGAGGAAATTAAGAGGAGATTGAACTCGGGTAATGCTTGCTACCACTAGGTCTAGAACCTTTCGTCTTCTCGTCTGCTGTCCAAAAACATAAATATTAGAATATACAAAATTATAATTTTGCCTGTGGTTCTGTATGGGTGTGCAACTTGGTCTCTGACAATAAGGGAGGAACATAGACTGATAGTGTTTGAGAACAGGGTGTTGAGGAGAATATTTGGACCGAAAAAAGATGAAGTGACGAGATGTTGGAGAAAACTGCACAATGAGGAGCTTCATAACTTGTACTCTTCTCCAAGCATGATTAGAATGCTCAAGTGAAGGATGATGAGGTGGTCAGGGCATGTAGCACGAATGAAGGAGACGAGGAATGCGTAAAGGATATTACTTGGGAAGTCAGAAGGAAAGAGACCACTGGGAAGACCAAAGAATAGGTGGGTGTACAATATTAAAATGGATCTTAGAGAGATAGGACGGAATAGTATGGATTGGATTGATCTGGCTCAGGATAGGGACCGGTGGAGGGCTCTTGTGAACACGGTAATAAACCTTCGGGTTCCATAAACTGCTGGGAAATGCTCGAGTAGCTGCAGATTTGGCTTCTCCTCAAGAGGGGCTCAGCTCCATGAGTAAGTAAGTAAATGACTGAACAGACTGGTGTAGCGGTAACGCTCCAAACTTGGAATCCTGGAAGCCTGTCTGACTGAGAATGTTGTGGTCTTCCTCAGTCCCTTCAGGCAAATTCCGGCATACTGCCTTGATTAGACTGTGACTGCTTCCTTCCGAATGTCTGCAATTCATAATTCATCAACCAACGCCCCATTCAACGCTATGTAATCTAGATACGGACAACGATGTTAAATAACCAACAAGAATCATTGTAATGTACTAATTGACTTAAAGGATTTATAATATAAATACCGTCGTAAATGCAACAATTTATTGTATTTCTTTGCCTTTCTTGTTTTACACTACATGTTTCGGCTGTAACTGGCCATCATCAGGTGTATTTCACTTACGTAGCTGTCACACTGCATGTAATTTAAAATTTAAAAACGCCAGCTTTCTCAATTGTCATTGCTGCGTTTCAGTCGGTCCCGATATACCAGAATCCCCTTGCTGATTTTGTCAGTTATGTTTAAAATCTCTGTTAATATACACTCGTCGATTTGATTCAGATTTTTTTTTAAATCTACAATTAAAATTTAAAATTTTAAAATTTAAATCACAGGGGCACCTGCTGTATGTCTACATGTGCTGCAGCGGCTACTTCTTGTTTCGGCACCGTTCACGTATTCTGTGCACGTTCCCTCTGTGCGTGCCGCTATTTATCTTTTTGAGCAAACGTATTAAAGATAAACAGCGGCACGCACAGAGGGAACCTGCACAGAATACGTGAACGGTGCCGAAAGCAAGAAGTAGCCGCTGCAGCACATGTAGACATAGAGCAGGTATCCCTGTAATTTAAATTTAAAAATTTTAAATTTTAATTGTAGATTAANAATCTCTGTTAATATACACTCGTCGATTTGATTCAGATTTTTTTTTAAATCTACAATTAAAATTTAAAATTTTAAAATTTAAATCACAGGGGCACCTGCTGTATGTCTACATGTGCTGCAGCGGCTACTTCTTGTTTCGGCACCGTTCACGTATTCTGTGCACGTTCCCTCTGTGCGTGCCGCTATTTATCTTTTTGAGCAAACGTATTAAAGATAAACAGCGGCACGCACAGAGGGAACCTGCACAGAATACGTGAACGGTGCCGAAAGCAAGAAGTAGCCGCTGCAGCACATGTAGACATAGAGCAAGTGTCCCTGTAATTTAAATTTAAAAATTTTAAATTTTAATTGTAGATTAAAAAAAAAAATCTGAATCAAATCGACGAGTGTATATTAACAGAGATTTTAAACATAACTGACAAAATAAGCAAGGGGATTCTGGTATATCGGGACCGATTGAAACACAGCAATGACAATTGAGACCCATAAATGCAGCAGCCTTGTTAAATTTCTTAAATATAGGACTACAGATAAAAATTATAACAGGTGTCTACAATGATCTGCTAATTCCACACCAAATAAGAGTTTCAACCCTTAAGAACGGAGGAGCATGTAAACTTTCACGGGACACTATTTTTTGTTTAAAAATATAAATATTCCAGTTATGTCTCCCATTTGTATAGAAGGAATTGAGATACGTACGAATTATCAATACGGTTATGTAACGTACAGTAGAACTAACTTCTGAGTTAAGTCTGATTTGATTATCCCAGATCTGAACACACAAACTCTACATCTTATCACAGTTCTGAAAAAGACCACGACGACTTTCGTACATATGTTCAAAAATAAGCGTCGCTTAATGAATGCTGGCGGAGCTAAATATTTTAACATGTCATTAACTATGTACGTTTTAAAATACGTATTTAACAAACACTTCTTAGTGAATTAAATATATTTTAGTGTCTTATGATTTTCTTTGTTGCATTATAGAAAAATAACGTACAATTTAAAATGATGCCCCAATGAAACACGATGCTGAAATATAATATGTACATATTTAAGTCCTTTTCATTTTATTGCTTTTGATTTCTTTTAATGCAATTATGCAATTAATATGGAGACAAAACATGACCATGGCTGTGAAATTCGCCAGTCTATTTCTGTGGACATTTTATGTAAAATAACTACGCCAAATGGATGAAAAAGCAATTCCAGTATCTTCGTTCTTGTTGCCATCTGGGAGATCAAGATAAAAACCGAACATCACATGATGCGGCATATAATTCTGTAAAAACTTGCTTGAAGGGATAAAAGGAAAGAAGACGAGCACATCTATTGCCGTTCCCATGATGTGGCTTGATGAAACCAACAAACTTGAAGATTGATATGTCCATCTTAGGAAATTTTTCTCATCTTTTCCAGAAACAGAAAATAAAACATGATATAGAAATATTCCTTTTGAAACGAAACCAGTGTCATATGGAGAAGATCTTCCTGATCTTTATGATCATATAGTAGGAACAAAATTTATTTTCTCAATTGATAAAAAGAGGACTATTTGGATGTCCCATAAACATGTTCAGTCCACATTACATTCCACAGAGTTGTGCAGAACAGTGTCCTCAGTAACAAGTCCATCAGAGCAACAAGCAGACACTTTTGGGCTCGAGGATGCAGCAGTGGAATTTGCTGGCTGAAGATATCAGATATCCATATTTAGAAAGAGAAAACAGAAATTGCATGTTTTTAAGAATATGTAGCATTCCCTTTGTGTAGACTGGTATAAGAACTGGATTTGAACACAAAGCTGAAGAATGGCTGCTACTTATTCGCTCATTCATATTTAAGGGCAGTTTTGTTACACAGGGCGGACAAAAGGCCTTTAATATCTGTAGCGCATGCTGATGGAATGGCGTGATCATAGAGAGCATGTCCCACCTACTTAACGCAATCTTGATCTTCTGAACAGGTGGGACCAGGACCGAATGAAAATGTGCACACCCTTATATTTAGAGAGACAGAGGATGTTTGCATTCCCTTTTAACTGTTGGCATTTAGGAGTTGACATTTTATGTTTCAGAGTGCACCTTATTTTTAACAGTTTCGTGCTCATTTTGTGCTGATAAGGACATTTTAAACAAAATAAATACGTTTCCTAGTGACCTAGAGCTTGTAGGAGTATTTTGGCTGAAAAGATAGGGGTAAGACTTCTAGATTTGCCTTCGTAGTATATCGTCCACTTCCGGTAAGGGGAAGGCTCGGACTCGGATATGCATATCTGACCAAAACCAAAGGACTTGAAGGACCGTCTGCCTTCTCACGGCGTTGCATATATCCGCTGCTACGGCATGAGCCTTCCTCATATTAAGAGGCCCATACACATACCAGTCTGGCTCGCGAGTCCGACTTGGCTCGGGTTCCAATGAGCCAAACTCGTCCGTGTGTGGGTCGCAAAGTTCGGAGTCAGCTCATGAGTTTGTGGTGAAATTAATCCGATCCCGGCTCCCGAGTCAAGCTCGCCGAGCTCGTACGTGTATGGGCCTCTTTAGACAAGACCATCTTCCAAAACTCATTTATTCCCTTCGGAGCTCTTTGAAGTTCTAATTCGTACAATTACCACTTAAGCCCCAGCAGATAGTTAACATGTCGTAACCACCAGGCCAGGGCTTGGTTGTCAGTATGGAGGCAAAACTCATTGTGTTCATTGTAACTACGTTATTTCTCGCAACCATACACTACAGACAGGCACTCTTTCTCGTGAATACAATACGCCTTCTCGGTGGGAGACAACAGGTGCCAAGTCCTCTTCTTCTTTCTTCTGATCTGATGAAGAACTGCCGAAATGGCGACATCATTCGAATCTCAAACCAGAGTAAAGTTACTAGAGGAATTCCGGATCTGCAATGCGGGGGGCGTTGATAAGGCATAGTTAACGCTGTTCAAATGCAGTCTGCTAGTTATCGCCACAGAGGAAGCTAACATTCTTACGCTTCAGCAAATGAAGTGTTTCCGAAATCTGGGGAAAACGTTCTATAAAACGATCATAAAAACAAACCATGCACAGAAATCTACGCACCGCCTTAAGTTTCTTGGGACCTGGAAAATCCCTGATCGCCTCACCTAGCTCAAGCAAGACCTTGACTCCATGAGCCGCAAACGAGTGTCTCAAAAAAGAAATTTTTTGTTCGGCCAAATGGACCTTGTCACGCCTTCTCGAACCTCATAAATATTTCTTTCGGGTGTTCGATATGTTCAGAGGAGGAAATGGAATATACATCTAAATCGTCCAGAAAGTTATACACGAATTTCTGGTTAAGCTCTCCTAACAAGGAATTGAGTGTCCGAGAGATTGAGCCACAGCCCACTTGTACTCATTGCAACCTGGTGAATTCAAAAGCCCGAAAGAAGTAGAAAAGTCAGTAGCCTTATGGCTCTTAGCGGCAAAGGAATTTTGGAAGTTAGCAAAGGCATGCTCGAGTGTTAGCATCGGGAATGCGTCGAAAATTACTTAAATTATTTAAGAAGATATAGTTCACGACCATCCTATAGCCACCGTTGGGTTTCGAAATAATTAAAGTCGGACTGGCATACTGGGAGTAGCTCTTCTTAACAATTTAATCAGCAACTTAATCGAAGCAGATCTCTGACAATTTCTCTCAGTATGTGCAAACGCGGGTGAAAATATTGATACGGTAGTGAGCGTACAGAAGTGGTATCCCTCACGTCGAAATGACATACCGTCCCCTTCGCAGTACCGACGTTTCGGAGGAATATATCACCTCCAACTTCAAAGTAAAAAAATGAGCCAAGCAAAAAACTAGCCTGAAGCAGGTAACAAGCAGATCCTAGGCAAACAGAGGCTAAAAATCGCTGTCATATAATGCAGCATATGATGAGTTCAAATTGTAAGGGTGTATGGCATAAAATATACGTTTCAACCCTTTGAAACATAGTAGTAACTCTACTGTATGTACCGCTTTAGTAAGCAAAAGTTCTGCGTTTTTTTTTTCCACAGAATGTAATTGTGTGTTTCGTACGATTCTCAGAAGTAACGGTGATTACATCTGTGCACAGCATTAATCTGTGTTAGTAGAAACATGGTGTGTTTCGTGAGAGAGAGAAAGCGAATTTTAAATATTATTTACGTGATTTTCATGCTTCAAATTTTAGAAGTTTCTTCATAACGAAGATTAAATCGTAATAAATTCTCTGTTAGGAGAATTAAAAAGACATATTTAATATGAGTTCCCTTTTCCGCGGCCATAAACATTCGCAACTTTATCCCATGAACAGGTAAGTTTCACAGGGTAGAACACACAAAACAGAAACATTACCCTTCCTTAACACTTCGCGGAGCCAACTCCCCTCCCCGGTGCATACCCCAGTGTTTCAGCCTCACCTCAGCGAAATCAGATCAATAGACTGCGCAGCATTGGCACGAGGAAGCACAGCCAACTTCCTGTGTCTCCTGCTGACAACAAACCCAGCTAGCAGGGTCCCGACCAGATCCCTGTGCAACATTACTTTCAGAATCAGGATGGTTGCGGTATCCGATTTTGTCTCCAGTTTCATTAAGAAATAACGTGAACTAAAACGGAGTTTAGAAGTGAAAAGCTCCACGAAGAATCAGGAGTTTGGTTCAAATAAGTAAACAGGACGCGTGGAAATTATAACTGGTTTTTGTATTTCAAAAGTGAATCATTAAGTGACGCAATATTTTGAAACGGTATTTTCATTCTCCAAAGATTAATATATCTTCCTAACGAGTGGTGAATAAAATATAAAGGCTTTGTGAACTGTCACTACAAAATATTACGAATATTTACTTCGGATTCATCTTTCAAGTACTGATTTGTTTTCAAATGAAAATTATAGTGAAGACCTGCCAAAATTTACTTCCTGCATAAACCCTAAACAACAGCATTCATAAGCAAGCCAATTGCATTTAATACGAGACTCTAAATTAAACTAAGCTGAAGCAGAATAAGCACAACGCCCAACTCTCGCGTGTTATCCTTTTCTACAAATTAATACAGCAGTAGCTGACAGAGCACAGAGTTTCCGGCATAACAATTACTTCCTCCGAACCACTCTCGCCTTAACCACGATAGTTTAATGGAATAAACAAATACGAGAGTGGAATACATGACGTGGTGTGTAAACGAGGAATTCAATTGAAACAGATTCACAGTTATTTTACAAGTGTCTGAAACAGTTTTGTGATTTACTGTATTATCCAATAACTGTGTGATGCAGGATGCCTGATCTATAGGTGGAACACAGAAGAAAAACAACTGGGTATCGAGAGAGACAGGGATTATTTTGAGAATGTGCTGAAGGATATTAGTGTGTAGATACAGCGTTTAGAGAACATACGCACATCTTATCTTAGAATAGACTTTTCAGGGAAGAAAGAATTATACGCTTTATTTCCACTATCTGAAATTTTAGAGGATATATGAAGACAGAAATTAGCAGCGAATTGCAAAGATAAGAAACAAGACATCTCTCTACCGGCAGAAGCTCTTCTGAGACGATCTTCACACACACCTGTACCTAAACGGGGGACCAACGCTTCAGGATTCTCTTTCATAGCCTAGACAGGCTAAAACATCAAGGTAAGTTACTCTCTTAATAATGTTATATTTTAGCGTCCTGTTGCACTGATTTAAGTCCATGACTTATTTCAACCGTCTTCCAGTGCATACACTTATCTCTCTCCTCCTCTCTCTCGCACTAAATGTTTCNGACAGAAGAGGATAGGTGACTTGCGTAGTGAGATACGACGTAGAGATGAAAAATCTTGAACAATTTTAATATTTTTAACATTTAACATATATCAATATATATGATAAATATATATTTTAGTTATCTTAATATGAAGACGACAAGGCATGCAATGAACTAGTTTAGCGTAAATCGAATAAGCACCTGAAGATGGCACTTTTGTGCCGAAACATGTAGTGCGAGAGAGAGGAGGAGATAGATGAGTGTATGCACTGGAAGACGGTTGAAATAAGTTACTCTCTTTGTTTACTTTTATGAGTATTTCCCTGTTGCCTGAAATTTAATTTTTTTCTGCATGAGCAGCCTTTCATATTTGATTAAGCAAACCCTATAACTTTTAGCTGAATCGTTAATTTATAAAGGATTGCAGAGTTTCCGTCAATTGTGGTTCTAACGGAAAATTTTGTGTTGTAGTTTGTATGAAACGTTCGTAGCCTATTCTAAAGGAGTGTTGTTCTTCTACTTAACTAATTAAGCACTATGCCATGAAGGCGTATGGGGTTGTGGGTAAAGAAATCCATATTTTTTTTTACCTCTGCACTAGTTAGAGGCAATTGGTCAGCTTCACGCCCCTGCTGCTTTAACCCCGGGTTAAGCGCCCCCTATACCCATTGATAGGAGGTTTGCTGGACCCCAGAGCCAGTCTGGACGACCGGGACCCGAACTACGACCCCTCGGTAACCCAGCCCGTAGCCAGTAGCTATGCCGACTGCGCTATCGTGGCTCCCAACCATAAAATTAATAGGATTTAAGAAATGAGAAGTTATCCTTATGGAAATCGTGTGCTTATTACAAGTGTTCAGAGAACTGTAGATGTTATTTGCATGTGTGGCATACCGTGGAGAACGGCTAATTTTTAGACATTATCCAAATTGAAAGCGGAAAGATCTCTAATTTACTTAAGGGGTATATGGAGAACAAGAAAATCCATAATAGAACGACAGCAGATTTTGCTCTTGTAAATGTTAACAATAAATAAAGCATTAAGACTTCGTATAGAATATAGTGTTTTGAAATTTAAACAATCCAAAATTGAATTATAATTGCGAGGGAAACTGGACGAAGCAAATTGATTGTAGCATAAATTTTCTAACTTTCTTTCTATATTTTTCAGACAATTACGATGTATAATCCGCCAAAGTAAGGTTATTCCAAGAAACATGTTCAGTATTTGGCCGAATTAAAGCAATAAGAGTTTGCCTATAGAAAGAAGAAAAAATATATGTACTCAAAAGAATAAGTCCTAGGAAACGCAGTTCATCAGTCACCGTGAGACAGTTGGCTTTGTGACACTACGATCTTTTTCACAATAATGACGTATGACTGAAACATCAGCACAATAGTAATTAAAATGAATAAATAAGTCTGTTTATAATTAAGGACATTAATTTTCATATAATTTCAGTGCATCATTTTTCGTACTTTATATCACAATGTAGTAATTTATGATCTTCAGCAGACTTTATGATACGAAAAATTTTCAGATCATCAGCAGACGAATTTTGAAAGAAAAAAAAATGGCACATAAGTCATTAATAAAAATACATTATGTATTAAAATGTATTAAATTAATGCCCTCATGTGGAGCATCATTGTACTCCCGAGGGCTTGCGGAAAGGTAAAGGAAACTACTCTAAAAATTGAACGAAAGAAAATCTGGATGACGAAATCACTTTGAAACAAGGTAATACGATATTCTGTGAGCATTGACAATTATAGAAGAGTGTGAGGGACTCCATGGACGCCGGGATGAGATCAAAACAAATGAAATTAGTCAATTGTGACGAACATCTTGTAGATGTTCCGGGCTTTCCTCTCTCTCATGCTTCATTCTTGCTTGCCTTTCTTCTGAGACACACAGACTTGTAATTTATTTTCGGTAGTATGATATTATTTTATGTTACTGTAAACACGAACTATTCACCTCTTATTCTTATAGTTGCTGAAGACTGGTTCTGACCAAAGGAGGCTAAATGCGTATTTTATAAAGAAAATACTATATTAAGAAGTTTCTTACTTGTACAGTGGGTTTTCTTTTGTTGGTTAACTGAAGACGCTTTCATTGTGGAGACTGTTTATAGCGTCGGATGAAATGGGTAGGATTTGCGAGAAAGCGGTCGTCACTTACTCGAGGTACGAGGACCGCGCCATAGCTGAAGCGGTTAGTCGCTGGCTTCCCACCGCGGCGACCCGGGTTCGATCCCGGGGTCTGGTCAAGTGGGATTTGTTGCGGACAAAGTGGCGCTGGGGTAGGTTTTCTCCGAGTATTTCGGTTTCCCCTGCCAATCTTCATTCCACCACTTGCTCCACAATCACCCTCACCTCTCATCTGGGGCTGGGACAATAGGCCAGAAGTGGCCGCAGTACAAGGGACTTAGTCCCACCCCACTAGCAATAAAAAAATAATACTCGAGGTAGTGCCCCGCAACCTATTTAGAGGTACAGGAAAGCAAGAGAAACGTCAGTCAGAATAACTGGTATTCCTGCCGAAATTCGAATCCAGCATCTCCTGTAAGCAATACCATTAGATCTCTTCGAGTATGATGCATTGTTATGAGGACAATATATATCTAGAATATATGAGAAATTTTGGTTCTAGATTTACCTAACCGTATAAGGAATTCTACGAAGACTAGAATCGTATCCTCTGTATCTCTTGTGAAGGATAATTTATATTTGTTCTGTTGTTCATAATATTGTTTGTTTGTATGTTCTGTTTCGATTGAGGATATATGAGGGATGGACCTCAAAATTCCCACTACTGTTGATAGTCTGTCAAATTTCTCAAGTGTTATATGCTACATGGTCCACTCAAGTATCGTCCTTAATTCGATCATCTTAATAACACTTGAGTCCGGTCACGGTAACCCAGCGGTCTAAGGCATGTACTGTCTTCGCTCGCTCGGAAGCCAGGATCATGGGTTCCAATTCCACACAAGGCATGGATGTTTGGTGTGTGTATGCATTTATTCTGTGTTTTTGTTGTCCTGTGTTAAGGTAGAGGCTTTGCGATGAGCTGATCACCCGTTCAAGGAGTCCTACCGTCTGTAAAAACGATCAATGAAACTGAGAAATCAGCCCTGTGCCCACAAGTGGGACCGAAAGTAAAAAAAAATAATACTTGACGATTAGCTCAAATTATGAAGCTTGTCTCTATTAGTTTTCCTCCAACTTCCAGTTACATTACCTCTTCTACTAGTTCCAAATACAGCCGAGTGCCCTTTTCTCAAACACTCTGTATGTTCAGTAGATTGTAAGGGGTTTCGACGATGGTGCATAACACCCAGAATTACTGGATATCTGGACTTTGTCCATTGTCCGGTGTTCTAGAATCCATAAAACACAACGTTTCGGAAACTGCATCTGTTTCCGTCCTCAGATGGGTGGGGGGGAGGGCAGAGAAGGCACATGGTCTGTTGTGTCCCTCAATCACTATGTTCTCCCTCAGTGCGAGAAACGCGGTAGATACTCAAAAAACAACAGACAGAAGTAGTCTAATGTATTTGGTTCCTTATGTTCTTAATCATTTCATGAATATAATTCTTGTCAGTGTCGTTCTCCCATATATTTTAACTTTGCCACTCTTCCAAAGGAGCTGTCAGTTTCTTTTTAAATTCGCTTAGTAGGGGGTGGAGTCCAACTGGGTCCACTCGGCACGGCGGCCACTGATTGGTCTATTGCAGCCTGTCCCGGGTGATTATGATGATGGAGAATTTGGTGGAATGAAGATTGGCAGGGGAAACCGAAGTACTCGGAGAAAACCCGCCCCAGCGCCACTTTGTCCACCACAAATCCCACTTTTCCAGACCCGGGATCGAACCCGGGCCGCCGCGTTGGGAATCCAGCGACTAACCGCATGAGATATGGCGCGGCCTCTTCATTTCCTGTAAGTGCTGATCATGCTGTCTACAGCAGACACAAAGTGGAGGAAGGCCGATGTACCCTGATGTACAGAGTGAATAAAGCCCACAAACTTCAGAAGTGTAACTCGCGATCCAAACTTTCGCTCTCCAGCCAACTCTCAAAACTTAATACGTATTATGTACTTAGCCTGAAGTACGAGTATATGTACACTTCCGCTTCACACGGATGACAGAGACGTTGCCTGCAGGGTGGGACTATATTCCTACCTTCAGTTTCTTGGCACCGACCTTAATTAGTTGCTTTATTCGTTTATTGCAACACAAAGTTATGACCGCGTATTTCACCACAGAAGATTTGCCAGATTACCCAACCTCAGGAATTACCCCTGGTATTTAATTAATTAATAACCACATAAACAAATGTTGTATATCTCAATGAAATATCTTGTCGTCTTATTGTTTATTTTTTCCGTTATTTCCGCCTTCTTTTCTTCTCTGTTATGAACACTTTTAAGATACTCTATAACGTTTTTGTGCAGACCTCCGTGTCATATTCTGTAGAAGTCTTTAAAGGATTAGGGCACTGACAACCTATACGGGCAGATAGGTCCCCTGATTGTGTTCATAACATAAAGCTATTTTCAGAATACTACAAATATTATGTTTTTGGACATTATTCATCGTCTTGTCTTTATCTATAAATCGTCCTGTTTATTTTTCAAAACACAGATTTTGGAGACTGGATTCTATCTCCGTTTTCAGGTCAAACCTACTCAGTCGGGCACAATTGATAGAGCTATTCCCTATTCCCGGACACCTGTGCCGGATAAAGACAAGACGATGGATAATGTCCAAAAATATAATAAGAGTATTTGTACTAATGTACCGTCGTCAGAACTTTTGGATCTTATTTACATAAAAGGTATTTGATACGATAAAAGAGGCAGAACAATTTACAGTAATCCGAAAGGAAATCGCTCATTATTTCGTGATCCACGCTCCTAAGAGTCATCTATTGTCGAAATCACTATTCCGAGACTATGTCATGGACAGACGTCAATAAATAAGGTTGAATTATTCAGGATAAGAAATATCTTTCCAGGTTCTGTTAATCGGCGTCTTTATATTGACTATATCATGGTTTTCGTATGTTTGGGTTGAATCGTCACGTTTTCGCCAATTTATTTTCGTCCCTTACGGAGATAAATGTTTGAATATGGGTATAAAAATTATAAATAGGGACAATATACCGTACTTTTCCAGACCCGGGCCGCACATTTTTTGCCAAAAATTCAAGAGGAAAACTGGGGTGCGGCTTATATTCGAAATATTCGAAATCACACTTCATTTAAAAAAAATATATTCATAATTAGTAATACAGGGTGTTCTACTCCTGAAATAATATTCCAAGAAAATTATTTTTTCTATAATTTCTGTCTGAAAATTGTGCTGCGGCCTATACACGCACGCGGCCTATACATGCATAAATACGGTATATCATTCTGTGTATCTTAGTTTCTAGAAAACCGAAATTAACGACCGTGGGGATTCGTTGCGCTGATCACGCGATACCCTCTATGCTCTAAAGTTGGCACTAACTTCGCCGACAAGGAGCGGTCGCTCGGTAGGTATAGTTCGCTTGCGGACTAAAACCACGGAGTTTATTTTTGTATCTTAGTGTTCATTGCCTGTATAGGTTATTTAGCGACATTATTTCAACTGAACAAGTTTCATAGAGTTGAACGAGACAGGAAGATGACTGTAGACAATAACTGGATGAAGATATGGAATATCAGTTTGTACGTATGCCGGGATAGTAAAGTCGGTACAGCGCTACGGGCTGGAACTCCGAAGGGTAGGAGCTCGAGTTCCGGTAGGTGCAAGAATTGTTTCCCTTTCATTTCGTCCATGCCGTTTCTGGGACACACCTTGCCTCCTATCCAATGGGTAGCGGAGGCTCTTTCCTTGGGGTTCAAGTGACCAGTGCGTGAAGCTGATCACTCACCTCCAACTAGTGCCGAGGTCACGAAAATATGGATCTATACATCGACTTCCCCATACTCCTTCATGGAGTAGTTAGTTAAGCAGAGGGACAACTTAACAGCTTTTACTTTTTTCAGTGGCTGAGACAAGCTAAACAAGGGAACCGCAGAATAACCGGTAATCCGCTCAAAGTTCTAACCTAGAACGACCCCAAAAGGACTCTTCTCCTTGTTGACAGTAACAGAATCTGTCAGAAGAATTTTCCTCTATGATCTATCAACTGCAGAAGGACACAATAATCCTTCTACATAGATGATTCAAGGCTTCCTCTGTCAGAGCTTTCCAAAATCTTTCAGATTTAGATATCTCAGACCCTCCTATCGTCCAAATGTTTGTCATTTCTAATGCGGGACTGCGATGTTGTTATCCGCCATCAAGTAACACATATAGGCGAGGCTCACAGACCTGATGAACGGACTGAGTACAGATAGAGGATATTATTAATACTTGTATAATATTTGAGGCTATAGACTGAATTAAACCGGCTCAGAATGTGAGCCAATTTTAGGCTATTGTGAACACTCTAACAAAGAGTCGGTTACAACAATATGCCAGTAACTTTTAACAGCTGAGAGACTGCCATCTTCCTAGTAAGGAATTCGTTCCATGAAGTTAAACACAAAATATGTACTACTATTGATCTTGTAGTTTCCCTTCAGAGAATGCACCATCGATAACTATGGCGATAATGTGAACATGCCTAGAGCATGTGACGTTCTACTCCGCAAAGATTTAAGCTTTTCATCAAATGGTTTGGTGACCAAACTGTGGGCCATGAGACAGACGGGCATGTAGCACGCTTAGTTATATGAGAAATGAACACAGAACTTCGATATAAGAACCACTTTTGAAGTCAAATCGTTATGGGAGAACAATATTAAATGCATCTTACAGAACCTGAGTTGATGATGTAAACTAAATTCAACTTCCTGAGAGTAAAATTCAATAGCTGGCTCTTGTGAAAATAGTAATGCAATTGTAATGCTATTTGTATTTCCTTGTTGTCTAGATGAGTGAGGTCAGTTTCTCAAGGAAGAGTTTAACAGTTAGCTATATTTATATATGTGTATGTATTTATATTGTTATTGTAGGCAGGCTTCACCCCTGTGTGTGTTTTTTTTTTCAGTTCTATGATGCATTCCATGGGCTTGCATTCGGCTCTTGCCATCAAGCGGCAGAGGAAACGGCGGGATGAACAGAAACGGGCCCGGGAGCGTCGCTTTAGCTCCCAGTCAACAGAAAGTGGCTTCACTAGCCCACGGAACAGCATTGGAAGTCTGGATATGCACTCACGAGGACGTGGGCGTCGTTATGGTAGCGGGGGAGATAGGTCAACTGGAGATGATGTGGGTTCCAAAGTAGTCACCAGCATAGGCATGCTCCACATTGGAGTCGTCTTCCTGGTTCTGGGAGCTTTCTTACTCGTTTCAGGCCTTCTGCCCGGTGACATAGCGCAGTGGGGCTCGGAATCTTCAGGAGGCTGGTTTAACGAATTAGTTATCACAGGAGGGTTTGCTCTAGCCATTGGTATATTCCTTATTATTCTGAACAAGATAATATCTAAACGGGTAGAAGATGATTTGAACGAATACGTACAGCGACAGTTGACAAGATCCAGATCTGGACATCGGCTGGTTAGGGACATAGAGACTGGCTGCCTTACAACAAAACACGATCAGCGGGCAAAAATGGAACAACGAGATGAAGAACTTAGGAGGCAGGAGCAGGAAACTTTTGACGAGGAGGAAACGGTACCTGTCCATTCACCTCACAAATCACCTGTTTATTCCCAAGATCATATTATGAACGGAGACGTCCAACCAATGGTTTCACCGCATTTGGAGAAGATAATGGAAGAAGAAATATCGGAGAAAGGCGAGGAGGAATCCAGAGCGATGGACAGTTTCAATAAGGAAGTAATGTCAAATGGATCTACCACAGCAAGCATGAGCCCTGGCACGCCGTCCGAAACTCAGGAATTGCTTTCAGGATCAGGACGGTACCTGAAAATGTCCAAAATATGAGAATACGAAATGCAGTACGACCCCTATCCGAGAAGAATTTTAGTAGACGGGTCTTCGAATATTATGACATCCAGAATCTAAACTTTATATCTGGAGGAAGAACAGACAGAAGTTTGAAGTAAGGCCCAAATAAAGAAATGTTACACGCGTTTGATTCTCATAAGGTCGTCTTACTGCAATGCTGTGACAAATATTATAACGTCCAAATTTGAAAAAGAAGGTAGGCATCCAACGATCGAAATATTAGGAGGCTGTAAGAAATACTTCAGAATATTTGATTCAGAATATCGGGTTCTGAAGCAGATGCACCATGATCTTCATCACGTCGAAAGTATCTGTTCCAGCTACGAATATCCTACCCCAACTTCTGATGGCATGCATTTTTATGCAGGCTCACGTTGAATGGTTGTTATATCGAAGATGCTTGGGGAACGTCAGAATCCAAGCTCTTCCATCGTACAGGAATCACTAATATATCGACTATTTAAATGCATGAATCAATGCAATATTAATGTTAACACTCATGCTATAGATTACTACAACTATCAGTATATACATTAAAGTTACGCAATGAATACAGCAAAGAATATCTCCGGAACATACTAGGCGGCCTATTAGTATGGTCTGTGAATACTTGGGCTTCTAATTCATCGACAACATATTGCAGGCAAGTGTCTCTGACACTGCCTTATACATGTTTGAAGGAAGGAGGCTTGGTAAAGTCATCAGTGTGAATTTATGTATATATACACATATTTATATTTGTTAAATCTTTTTACTGTTTATTTCGTATCCCTATATTATGGCAGGTGTTCGTTATGTACAATTAAATATATTAGTGTATTTAATTTCCTCGCGAAGTGTGATTTTGTGCAATTGACCTTTTGACGTATCTACCAATGAATTTGTCCCCTGCACATCCTTCAGACACTGGCTATCAAGAGTACATCCATTGTGCACATATTATAATTTTTAAAAATTGAATTTTAATGCAAATGTGACACTAAATATTACTGTAATCACGCTAATAATAAATAAAGTAATGTCATAACGGGCCTGAGCAGTACATTCAAGTCATGAAATCACTTCTCAAAGCCTTATGGTTAGATTTATGTAAATACAGCAGGTATTCAACATATGCTTAAGTAGCCATCTCAGTAGTTAGTTCTATGTGAAACTCAACAATCATATAACAAATATTTTAAAATAAACAATTGCTTTGTATTTAACAAGAAACTATGTGATTAATCAGAACAATGTTTTCCTCCATATTCATGCGACTTTTCACATGAAATTAAAATGAAAAGTAAAGGTAAGTAATTTTGTTTGGAATGCATTTTACACCTTCCTTACTTGAATTCTTAATCCGGGATATTTTGAAAGATCAATAAGAATATCACACCTCTGGTAAATTTTTGTATCTCATGAAACTGTATTCTAATTGAATTCTAGCATTACCATAAGGTTGTAAGTACTTGGAATTTTGCTATTTATATTTTTTACAATTTTATTAAAGATACTGTATTATATCCACAGTTAGCTGTCTGTCATCTCTGCTCATGAACAACAATACATTTACAAAACATAATGCAATCAAAGCAAATTAATTCGTTTTGATGTTATGACTAGTCGATGCATATCTAAGTGTGATTTATGTGTTACTAAGTAATTGTAACTTTTCAACAATCTTACATTACAATTCGTAAGAATTAACATAGTAGAAATGGTTTTCTATAATCTTTCTGAGGTAGAGATAAATACACCGAAAGAAACCAAGCCAGATTCAATAATGTCAACTGCAGTCTCTTGTATAAACAACCATGTTGTTTAATTTTTTACAAGGTCCTAATCATTTACTGAAGAAATAATTTAAATATTTGATAACACAAATCTAATTCTGACACTATTCCTAATTTTAACTAAACGCTTATCAAACCTATGAAATGGTAGGTGTATCTTCTATATGTATGTACAAATAACCTGCTGTTGAAACTAATGCATAATTAAACAGTTGCATACTGTTACTAATATCAAGTTTACCTATGTGTTGTTTCGAAGAGAAATGTTGGTATTATGATTACTTTTTAATAATTTTAACGTTCTTTACTACTTGTATATGAACTTACATGCATTTCACACGTAATTATGGATATACATAAAATTTTCACAATATTGTTATTTATAGAATTCTTACACAGTATGATAATATTGAACACGCATAAATAGCTCACAGTCCGTTTAAGGCAATCGCCTCTACATTTAGAAAGTTATTACTAATATTATGTAATTGTTGATAATACAGTGCATTTTTCAAACCAATTACAATCTATTCGCGTATGATTAAATATAAATTAAATCAGTAAAAGTGTAATAATGAACAATTTTTATACAACTGTGACGTTATAAAGAGAAACAATGTTACGTATTTCGGAATGTTCACAAAAGGCACTATTTCTTGCCTTCAGCGTTACGTTTGAACGCTTTACCTTCTTCGGTGTAAGTTATGTCACAGCTACCTGTTAACAAACTGAAATTCAAATTAATAATGAAACTCTTGTTTCTATAGTAGAGTAATTGAGTAGTAATAGTAGGTTGTGTGAGATCTGGGGTTTGTGGTGACTTAAAAGTGATAAAATATTCCTCAGCAGCCAGCTACGTCTATCCGAATCGTCTCTTTCTCTCCAAAATTTTGGACTTCTGTTTTATGTTGGGACGGTTGATCGCCAGAAAAAACTTTACCGCAGTAGTAAGTTGATTACTGTTCAGTACTTACATAAGATTCGAGGCTTTCACGAAAGTTTGAATCTGATTTAAGGATTACGGCACCGTACCGTCTTTTAGGTGGTTATTTACTACGAGACTGCACGGTGCCATAACCCAAAATATCGGAATATAAAGACTATTCCTTTTACACTTTTATTAATTTAAATTATTTTCAGTTGGTTGTTCCATATACGTGTATGTATCGAAACCAGTCATTTGGGGGGAAATATCTGTGATCAGTTTTAGAGAAAATTCGTCCTTAATTCAATTAACACTTAGTTTAAGAACAATAACCAGGAGCAAACTAAGATTTAAAATATAAATAGAACATTAATTTTGACAAGAAAATATCTCTCTACAGTACTGGGCTATCATTATGCTTATACCTTTATGTTACCTGTTCAAAGTAATAAATATATATTATGTTATTTTTTAAATATTAATTATATAAATATTCTGTATACTGTCCGGTCTAGAAACCCGAGATTAACGGCAGTGGGAATTCGTTGCGCTGACCACGCGACACCCTCTATCCGCAAAAGTTGGCACTAAACTTCGCCGACAAGCGGCGGTCGCTAGTTCGGTATAGTTCGCTTCTGGACTAAAATCACTGAGTTTGTTTTTTGTTTGTTTTTTCTGTATACTGTAAAACTTTTACCATCCAAATAAGCACGTTTAAAACATTTAAAATTTTTCAGACTAGAAAATTTGTAAACCATAATACAAGGGCCTACAAGTAACCTTACTTTCCCCTTATATTTGATATTGACGTTCAGTTTATGTGGCAATACCTACATACATACACTTGTTATTTCAAGAAATGGGAGTGAAATGCAGTTTTAAATTAAGAATTATAGGGACAAGCATAATTGCATACATGGTTAATAAATTTTCTTCAAATGTGAATGCTTCTTGTAATTTATGAAGACCAATTTTCGCGTGGGAATTATTGTGCACACGAATATGAATAAATTTGTTCATTACTGCCTGAAGTGATTGAGAAATAATAATAATTTTCTTCTAAGCACAAAAAAATACAAAATGCTTAATATGGTGATATATACAATGATACGAAAAGAGACCTTGTGTTTTCTGGCAAGTATTACAGTAAAACTTGGTTATAGCAACATCGGTTTCTGCGACACCTTGTCTATTGCGTCATATATTCAATGGTACGAACTAATTCCTCATAAAGCAACTGTTTTTATACCTTGCTTAGTACGACATGCACAAATGCATCAACCTCGTATGTAACGTCATTTTCATTCCTGAATTTCTCTGATATGGACATTGAACGTAATTTAGAAAGTGTGTATTGGGCAAGTAACAGGAAACAGATGAAGATAACTGATTATTGTACTCGTATCTAGGTACAGTAAGGCACAACAATTGATATAATCTACTGTAATTTGGTGAGTAGGCCTACCTTTAATACACAGTATTAGTGCGGTGTGTATTGTCAGTGAAAAGCGCTGTAGTATGTCTTTGATATTACACATTTGGGCAATTCCACGTTAATGTTACGTTAGTCTGTACTTAACTACGTATTTCACTAAAAAATGCAACATTTTAACTCGGTTTTTTGGTAGATTTTTGCGTGACTAACATAAGGCTACTGTGGAAGTGCCCATTTCGGTTACAACGACATTCGTTTATAATGACACTATTTTTAGGTCCCTTTGATGACGTTATAACCAAGTTCTACTGTTAACAAAGATTTTATCTTCTGTGTACGAGAATCCTATGTACGGCTGTCTGACAGTATTTAGAGTGGTAATATATGAACTGTTGTTACATAACTATAAGGAGTGTAAGGGTAAGAAATTGTTGATATTTTCTTATGACTGAATATCTGGTAGAGAAAAGTGATGTGTCGACGTTAACGACCTCTTTCTAGAAGACTGATGACCTTTGTACCAATTTGTATGGAGATACTTGAAAATGATATTTTAATGAGATATTAGCGGTGGGGTGCGATTGTGCTTGATTTATAATTTTTTTCGTATTTCGTGGGAGCTATTTTAAATGTAGTCACTGTGATTTGTAATTCAAGCTAGATGAGATTTTAATATATATCGATAAAGTCCTTCATTTAACATTCTTATGGAGTTTAATGTTATCTGTTTCAACTTTACGTAATCATTTTTATTGTATAATAATATAACTGAATATATAAATAATTTTCTTATGAGCTTGTTTATTGACTAAAAATTTGCTTAATCTATGCAAGGTCCGGCGTCAGAAATCAAGTTACTTTCCAGTAGATACGCGTTATGAAATGGGGTAAATTCATTTGTTCTGAGATATGACGCTATACATACAAGTGAGAAAGTGGTAAAAAGCTTATAATTTATGATATAAAATTACATCCTCCGTTGCGCAACATGTCACAATATATTCTGAATATGCTTTTGCATTGTTAATGTGATCATTCTGTAATATATTGTCGCGTGTTTGCTAGGCAATGCGACAAAAAATTGTGAGTGTTCTCGTATTTGAACGAATACCTTTATTGGACAGTCACTTTTACACTCTCAAGTACAATGATTCCCCTTAAAACGTCCTTCAGAAGTTTCTTCTCTAATGTTACTCGTACAACACTTGTTGCACCGCTACTCTCGGTGAAGTGTCTTCTGCTCTAGTCGGATGAGAACTCTTCTGTTCTCTTACCGAATACAGAGTCTACTCCTCTAAGGTCAAATACAAACTAAACTAGTCTCTTGTTGCAGTTGGACTCTTGTTACTTGTTACTCGGACTCAATAGGGAATACTATGTCGACGGGTTTACCAAGCCCGCTGCTATGCAAATGCTGCTACAAACAATTCGTATGTAACGCTGGAAACTCCACCGTTAGTTTGCCAGCCGTTGTATTGCAATGGATGCGTTCCGATTCCTAGCCGCTGTCGCGGGAACGTCGCTCGTTGCCTAGGAAACCAACCCTGATCTCCTCAACCATTCCGGCTTTCTGGCGGCATGTCACGTATATGTATTTATGTAATACATACAGGTTCACTACTGTCTGCATATAATTAAGAATGCACCATTTCTGCTCATAACTGAAAAAATTATTCACCATGTACAGTCACTTCTGCGATTTTCGCTCAGTTTCTCATGGACTGAATTACCGAGATTCTTTAAGTTATATTTCTGACGTTGGACGATTGCATTAATTTGACGGGAAAACATGAAAGGCGCTCACTCGTGAAGTGATAGATATGAATTAAGAATATTTGACTATTAGTAACAATTAATATCCGATTATATTTTATAAATATTCCTGATTAAATATTTTAAATGGATTTACCTCTATTCTGAAGTATCTCACAATATTTTTCACTAATTGATACTTTTTTTCTAAATCATTCGTTTTCCAATTTTGTATGTGTCATTAAAAATGTTACATTTGCAATTGCAATTATTATTAGAAGCCTTCTTTTTTGTATGTATATTAGATTTAAGTGCTGTAAGAAGTCAGAGTATATTTGATGCCCAAATATCTTAATTTATACCTGTGACATTTTACTCGTACTTTCTAAACCTGCTACAGATTCAAGGGAGCTCATTTATTCAATTGATACTCGTTCAAGTCATAGCGTAAACAGGAGTATCAATTTTGTACTGAGCTCTCTAGACGGCTCAGGAAACCTGCTGATGACCGCTGATAATGGAATCATATTACATTTATCCTGAGATCTGATAGAGCTGATCAAATTTTGATATGGGGGAGAAGAAGAATGCATATAGGATATTTGTGAGAAAGCCAGAAGGAAAGAGACCACTGGGAATACCAAGGAATAGGTGGGTGGACAATATTAAAGTTGATCTTAGAGGTATAGGATGGTATGGTATGGACTGGATTAATCTGGCTCAGGATAGGGACCAGTGGAGGGCTCTTGTGAACACGGCAATGAACCTTCGGGTTCCATACAATACTGGGAAATTCTTGAGTAGCTGCAGAATTGGCGGCTCCTCAAGAAGGGCTCAGCTCCATGATTAAGTAAGATAAAAGTTTGATCTAGCTTCATATAATTCGGAAATTAAGTTGACTGGGAGGAACCAGAAATAGATTCACCCACATACATTTAGGATATGTTCCCACACTATTGAATATAATTTAATTTATTTGAACAGTTTTGATGTGAAAAATATGGTTGTAGACTACATGTAGAAGAATGGATAAAAGCACATCCGAATTATAATTTAATTTATTTGAACACTTTTGATGTGAAAAATATGGTTGTAGACTACATGTAGTAGAATGGATAAAAGCACATCCGAATTATGAGTTTGCGTTCATTGGGTGCAAAACAACGCATAAGAATGAATACGTTACGCTTCTCGATACAAATTTGACACGGATGTTCAAAAGAGAAAGGTCCTATATCTCTGGCAGATAGCTGAATAATTTGTTCGCTTATTTCTCTTGAGGATGTGCCCCAGATGAAAAGGGGTGTACTAGTAAGCAGCCAAATATGCTCGAATACACGGGAACAAATTTGAGAAGATTTATTCCAGTTCCCTTCCAACTTTCTTCCGTAATCAAAAACGCTTTTCCAGACTAAACCTTAACTATTAAAGTTGGAGGAAATTCCATATCATTTCTTTCAGATCATGTAGATGCTTCCATATTTATTTCTTAAGTAGATTTCTTCATTCGTCATCACTATTATAATTAGTAACTTCGTGTGTTTAATGAAAACATGCGGTCTTAACTATTAAAACAAGACGCCTATATGTATTCATTCATTGCTGTGGATGTCTTACGGGTAGGAAATCATTGAACCTTCCAGGCGTCCTGGATTTAACGGAACTATTATTATTTTTATTGATATGATGATTATATTATTTAATTTTGCTTAATTGTTGCTGTTTTAATATAAAGTATACTCATGTTAGTACACGGCAGTGCAGTGCAATGCTCATTAGCTATGTAACTGACCAAGCTGTCACATTCCAAGCAAATGCAATGCATTACAGTGCACGGCCACATAATTCTCGTGATGATGAAACTACATTCTTAAGCTAATATTTTCTATCTGACTTTTGTATATATTGCTTTCAATTAATAAAGACTGTTATAACCTCACAATTATTTATCTTGTTTCTTCAACCTTAACACTGATCAGTCTGGTTTGAATTCTTCGGGCAGACACACTGAATGTGCTCTGCCATCTCTCGGTATATGAGCGGAATTCTTTTTTCACTAACAGGAATTTACATTACCAAGGAAAGATATCAGCATAATTTTTTGTATGAATATCAAAATGGAAATGGTTAACGAACGACTGTGCTGGCGAGGATCGGCAGCAATGTGTTGTATTTGACTGGTTAATAAAGGACATCATTAACGAATTTCAGTCGTCCCCACAGTCCCTGGGCGCAAGAACTGCACGCCGATTATTAAGTTGTCAGAATTTACCTTGCAGTTTAGATTATCGAAAATTCACATCATTCTTGTTCCGAAAATATTCAGTCTA